CTCCCCACTAGGATCACCCTTCAAATCTATACCAACTCCATGAAGTCCCTCATACAGAAACCACGAAGAGGTAGCAATCGTTGTCAGCTCCCCATTACGGCCACCAAGCAATCCCTGATCAAATGATGCGATGTGCAACCCGTACACCCCAACGAGATCTTGAACCTCCCTAAATGCCCACATAGAAGGATACCCAGCGAGCTCCGTCCGACCAATGCCGGAACCTTCCGTGAAATCAAAAGGATGCTCAAAGGTCAAGAATACAGTGGATCGATTCCCCTCGTTGTCTTTCTTAATGGCAGCAGCACTAATCCTCTTAGACGCAACCCGTAATGCCCACAAAGCTAAATCCTTGGGATCCTCGACCCCAGGTGGAGGGACCTCCTCCTCCCCCCTTTCCGCTACAGGACAGCTCATCGGAGCGCTCTCAGCATCCTTAACCGCTTGTGCTACCGCAAATACCAGAAAGAATCGGAACCACTGAACCGTTTCATCGCATACAACCCTAGACTGCTCTCCGGTTAAGCCCTCAAAACCCCAACGATCGCCATACCTACCCCTCAAAAGTTCCTGGGGACCAGAAGATTGACCGCCAGGCCAGACCGACTCTCTCGGCAATGATCCAACCAAACCACCAATCTTCCCTGAACTGGCCCACGACATCACATACTTAAACACCGGGTCACTCAGGATGTCCGACTGGTAATCCTTACCGAGGCTAATCACCCGGTCGAAACCCTTCCAGGATTTCTTGTTGGCAAACATATGAAGCAAGATACCGCCAGGCTTCGAACGCGCAACAGACCGACGAAAGCGCCGATTCCAAGGGTGAGACGAGTGATCAACATCTCCAGGGTCCAACACCGGACAAACTACCCTCCGAACACAATTATCCGGCAGTTCGGGAAACATCCCCCTGAGAAAACACTCCTGCTCCTCAATAGACGGACCCTGTTCGCCCCTGGAGCGAAGAATCTTGCATAACCAAGCCCGTGCATTCGCAGGATCAACAATCTCACTCTCCCGACAAACCGCCGCCCGTTGGGGGGAATTTCCTTTATCCTTAAGACCCTCATACTCCCGCAGCAATCTCAAGCCATCATCCCTCGGAATCAGTGGGCATCCCTTAACTACCTGTACCCGAAGCCTACCATCCCTAGGATGAGTAATCAAGCAGCCCTTCTTCTTCCAGCTCACAACATAACCCAGTTCAATTAAGTAACCGGCAGGGACTATGACCTGGCAGGGAGCCTGGCTCAAGAGAGTCCCCCTCTCATCAATGTGAAGCTCCGCAACTCCGGAAGCTAAATCAACCTGAATGGCCCTAGTACGCTCCCATTCGCCCGGCTCCGCTTGCCTTAACCCATTTGTGGCTCCACTGTCCACAAGCGCAAAATCAGGATCCGACGCACTAGCCATAGCCGACAGAAGCCAGGCCCTATCAATTGCAAGATCACCACCATCCTGAACCCTAGCAGCCTTCAAGGTTACGCCCTTAAGTAACTTCTGAGCTTCTGCCAGCAACTCCTGCTGCACCGTTGCACTCGAAGTGGCAGCAGCCTTTGGCTGCGGTGTCTGAGAAATCGAAGCTGCACTCGCTGACTCTTCAGTAACACCCTTTGCCTGCGGACCGGCCTTGGGTTTAGCTTTAGGATTGGCCTTAGCCTTAGGGGAGGCATCCGAACCACTATCAGGAACCTGAACCCGCCTATGCTCTTCCGGCACTACAGAGCATTCTGGCCTATAATGTCCCGATTGTCCGCAGGCCAAGCACCGCTTCTCCCTCCTAGCTACCGCTCGGTCGTGTTTAAATCTACAAGCATCCCCGAAGCGACACCCCACGGCGGTTGAGAAGTTTGTACACAGTGACGCGTTTTCCCCCGACCCCTTACCTTTAGCCTTGCCCTTCGGTTGTCCACCCGACCCAGAATCCCCACCCTTTCCAGTTTGCACCGCTGAAACAGAAGGACCCTTAGGCTCAACCCCCGAAGCAACCTCCGCAGAAGCAGTTGACGCAGCAAGAGCGGCCGCACGCGCCTTTTTATCAGGAGAATCCATAGTTAAAGAACCCGCTTCACATTCAGCCCGCATAAGTTTCACTAGTTGAACAACCCCATCCACGGACGGGTTATAATCGATAGCAGAACGGTGTCGAAACGCGTTTACCCTGAACCCGACCATAGGGTGAGCAGCCAGAAGCGACCCCGTAGCACCATCCACCCCTTTAAGCAAAAGGCTAGGGTCCGGTAGGGTGGCGTGTATTTCTCCTGCCCGTTGCAGCGACTGTTGCCATTGCCTCAGACCTTTTAGTGCCTCCGAAAAGCCCTTAAATACCCCAGGGTTCACCAACTGGCTCAACAAGTGTGCTCGTTCGGTACTACCTCCAGGCTGAAACAAGCATAGAATCCTAAAAAGGCTGGCCGCCGAAGAAAGCCAACGGTTGGTAACAACATCCTCCCTAACCCCCTGTGGAACAGCAGAAAGTAGCAAGCTTACAGCCCGACTTTCTACCCGGCTAAACGCGTATGCATCGAAGGTTCCCTTTACCATCGAGGGATCAATCGCCAACCTCCCCAGTGGGTCAGCCACCAACCACTTTTGATATGCTTCATTTGCAGGACCCTCCACACCAAGCCACCACGTACTTGCGTTAGGAGACAACCCCACAAGGATCTGCCGAATCTGAGCGACCCAATTCCCGCACACAACAGCTGATTGTGACAAGTCCGTCTGAGTCAGTTTCGGAAGCTCGTTGATGTATTTCGCCGGCTCTTCTGGGTTAAGCGGCCCTCTACCACCAGAGGCAACAGGCACCCCACAAGAAGCCCCAAGACCCCCAACAGAACCCGCGAAAGCCCCTCCAACACTTCCTTGACCCATACCGTGGCCACCCGTGTATCCCGGAACCGCTGAACCGCAGGGCATCCCAGAACCAACAGGCGAAGCAGCACATGGCACAGCCCAACCCAGACCACTAGGCAAAACAGGAAGCGCAGGCGCTACGCGTGGCGAGGTAGGTGGCGGTCCAGGCGGAGGCCGGATAACAGTCCCTCCAGGAGAAACCGGATAACCATCCCCAGAGACCATCAACCCCGTAGAAGGGCCCGACCTCGGAGTATGAAAGCCCGCATCACCCCTACTACTCTGACCCTGATCCTCAACCATCTGTCTGAAATCTCTAAACGACTGTGTCCTAACGTCCAGTGACAACGCGTCGCCCGGCCCTGAAAATCCGGCTTGGGAAGCACCCACATTGAGATTCCGCAGTCCAGAAGATTGGCCTGGAGCAACTAGCTCCAGCTGTCGAGATGGAACTAGACTTAAACCCCCGGCTCTCATATCCCGGTGATCATTCCCACTGGCATCCAATTGCACTCTAGGTGGCTCAGCCTGTACAGGTTGCACCGCTAGCGTATGGTCAGGACCGAAAGACATAGGTGATGCACCAGCCAAATCACCCGTATTCCTAGTACCCCCGGAATGCCAACTAGACCTCTCAACCTGATCCAACCTATCCCGGAGCAGTCTATTCTCTTCCATGATTTGAAGGAGCATCACCTCAAGCTGATCGGCCTTACTAGCTTCCGCAGGTACCAACTCCCGATGATCATCAACGCTCGGCCTTTCGGGATTACCCTGAGGCTCAGGATCCAAATCAATAGGTTGAGACACCCGTCTTGCAGTGCCAGGAATTCCAACACCCTTTCCGGTAGACCCTTCATGATCCGGCGATTGCCGAGCTCCAGCTTTAGCAGTATCGAAATGTTCTACACCATCACGACCCTTGCCGCTTGAAGCCGCGCCCGGAGACGCCACATGCTCAATCCTTGCCACCCTTGGCAGCCCCATCTGAGCTGATACAGGTCCAGAGTAGTCTGGTTCATCTTGGCGCCCTGCCAAGCTGTTATCCCCTAGCCCCGTATCGCTATAATCGCCAACCCTACGCCCATCGTCATCGAGGAACTTAGGCCTGCTCCGTGCCAAAGCCACCTCCACCCTGACCTTGTCAGAATGAAATGGACTTGCAATAGGCCCCTCATCCAACTGCGAAATAGCCCCACCCTCCTCGAGAGTTCCCGGAGAGGCCTCTCCCACATGCTTGGATTCAACACCCTCATGAGGCGCAAGATCTTGACCCAAGGCTGTTGTATAATCAGGCTCCATAGCAGAATCTCCCAACTCCGGATCACCAGCAGTCAAGTTTCTCCTACTACGGCGAAGAGCATCCATGGCTCCCGAAGGAATCTACACTAGACCCCGAACAAGTCTCGTAGCCCGTAACCTAGCCGGCTACGGCTGATAACCTTCGTAATTTAAACCACCCAAACCCAGTAATTGCAATCCGAGCGGCCACCTCGATCTCCAGGGACACAAACGTCCAAACAAGTACTTAATCCGAATCCAATCCGAAGGACAAGATTGCCTGGCGACTTTCGTGATTCCCGAATGTTATGGCCTAATCGATCGCTTATCTGGGGCTCCGAACTTTTTCGAGCAAAAACAGCCTTCGTGTTGCGCACCTTGGTGTGTCATCCTTTGCGCAGGGAGCATCCTGATAGCGTGTTCCACGCACTAATTCCTAAATTTCCTTTGACCTGATTTTGAGGATGCGTCCTCCTCCCGGCATTCCGAAGCCTCCTTCAGCCGAGGCCAGGCACAGCTGCACCTCTCACTGCACAGGGTTTTCTAGCTGGCCCAAGAACTGTGCTTCGGGTAGGGTGAATCCAAGATGGGTCTTGTCTTAGTTCATGGAAGTTCGGGAGCAACGGAAGGGGAGCAGACGTGTTATGTGAAGTCATGTCTCGAGCTGCGGTATAGTGACAAGCAGATTCTCGGTTATGTTGAGCGCAAGAGAGTAACTACCGGCATGGTTCGTGTAATCCTTCCAAGGTAGTGTGAGGGCTCGTTGGTTTTATCGTGAGTACTTCGCGAAGCAAGTGCCTGCTGCGGCCCAGACATAACAGCTCTTCCAGAGGATAGTCCCGGTGCTTTCTCAGAAGATGCGGTCCCGCGTGCTGCTAAAGGTATCGGGGGCTTTACTCCTCCTTCGTGCATGGGCTGGAGCATTTGTGAGATGGACAGTTTCGCCGCAAGAGTTGCAGCTAACCAGAGTGCAGGCCAAGGCTAGTGCAGAAGTATTCGCATCAATCTCACCACTGCAACAGCTCGGAAGTTACTGCTGGGATCCGGAGGGCTTGCTTGAAAAGTCAACTCGAGATATTACTGTCAGTGACGTGCAGCACGGCCTCCGCAACTCCGACCTGCGCCCGAAGCAGATTCTGGATCCGGAAAGTATTAGCTTGCCTTGCCGGCTTATTAACAGTCGCAATCTGCGTCCACAGGAGGTTCCCAGCAAGTTTCCCTTCAAAGCAGGATTCCTCCCAGCTCTGGTCATGGCGCAGCGGAGGGGTCTGGATTTGCAGCAGGTAGACTTCGTGTTGGGCGGCAGTGGTGCTGCCATGCTTGCGAAAAGAGCTATCAAAGAAGGGACGAAGTATTTGGTCCAGAGAGTTCCGGGTAGCGGAGCCTTAGTAGTAGGCAAATCTAAAGTATATACGCAGGACTTCTCAACATTCGGATTCCAGTTCGAGCGCCTCGTGACGGGTGAGCCTTTGGACGGTCTCCATGATCTACAGCAGCATGAGGCCATACAACTAGTAGATGTTGGCGGATTTCGCGTCCTCTTTGTGGCAGAGATCGATGCAGTCGATGCTGCTGGAATGCCTGTCGAGATTAAGAGCGGCAATCCCAAGTACTTCGGCATCGATCTTGCCCTACAGATGTTGTCCAGTGGGGCTTCGATGCTTCTTCGAGCTGATCGCGATGGAAGCTTGGTAAAGCAGGCCATTGCTGTGCCCTTCGCCGAGTTTGTTCGAGACATTGGTGTCCAGAAGGTGAAGCAATCTGAGAAGACACTCGTGGCTGCACTTGAGGAGCTGCGCAGTGCAGCGAGCGCAGCGAATGGTGCCTGCGAGCTCCAAGTTGCTGCAGACCGATCCCTGTATCTCACCCGCAGTGATGACAATGCGCTCCTGCCAGCTGCTTCCGTGGTGGAGGAACTCATATGTGTGCAGTGAAGCAGGCAAGAAACCTTTATGGACCATGGTTGTACCCACGAGACCAGATCTCAGGATTTAAACAAAAGTCCTTGGATTGAATCCTGAGCGACGCGAACCTAACCTCGAAACAATGATTCTGACATATAGCAATCAGCCAAGCAGCTCAGCAGTGTACAGATGAAACAGTGCCGGAAGCGCCGTAAGTGCCTCTTTCCAGTCGGCTTCTTTAGGTCCTGTGGACTGCCCTGCCGCCCTGTTTCTGGCAAAAAGCACTTAGCAGTGGATGCAGAGGAAGATTATCTGAAACTTGGTGAACTGTCTTGGGACGGTGAGGGCGATCATGCCCAAGGTTGTAACGTTACTGAAGATTTTAGTGGTTACTCCTGTTGAATCTGTCGAGAGTCTTCCGGTGTGGTGAGCAGTGGTCCTTGTGTCGTGAAGATGTGCTGCCATTGGATAGACATGCAAGTCGCTGTAACACTGCATTTTTGGTACCACATTTCAATCGGATCCTCAGACGGGTATTCTAGGAGGGGTTTGAGGGATAATACACACTCTTTCTTGTGTGAATGGGTCCGACTGTTTGGCTCGTTTTGGGTCAGTGTGTGGGTCTAGGACTTTCCCACCACGAGGACTAGCGGCAGGAGAGGGGACCTGCAAAAAGCCGCGTTAGCATAGACTTTTTTTGCGCGTGACAGCCTCTTCTCAACGCAATCCGCAGGTTCCCATCAGGCCTTGCATGAATTTCTCCTTCGAGGCTGGCTGACTATCTGTATGGCAGTGGCACAACTGCTGTGACTTATTCCTTGTCACGACTTCAGAAAGTTGTATAGCTGCATGACAAGGATTGCAGCAGTTACAAGCGCGACGCTACATGTTGCACACTGGCTCCAGGAACTTCAGGAAGGATCCTTTGCGACTCTGATCGACGACGAGTTCCTGGAGCTGTATGGTCCGGCGGGTGCCAGAGTGAAGGTGAAGGAGCTTGGTGAAGACGGATTGGTGCATGTGGCCATCGTGGACACCGACCATTCTGCTTGGATCCGGAAAGAGTACCTCAAGGCAGGGACACAGAGTGGCTGAGATGTCGAGAAGGGGCTTCGTAGCGCAGGCCGAGCCGACTTCCCGTTCGCAGCTGCAGGACGTGCTATGGGTCAAGTTACCTAACCATGTACTACGGTTGATGATAGAAATCCTGCATTACCCATGATAAGGAAGATACCATAGTTTTCAGAGTTTAGGGTCCTGAACGTAATGCAGGATTTTTTACCATCAACCGTAGTGCTGCCCTTTCTAGCAAGCCTACAGCAAGCCGATAGTTCCCGATGCTTCCGCTTCAGAGGAGCTACTTTCAGGCGGCCTTCGCCTGGACGGCTGCAGGGATCCTAAAGGGGTAGTTTTCAAACCCTAAGTCGTAGATAGGGACCCAAAAAGGGATCCCATAGTTTTTGACAACCACTCCGATGTACCCATGCGTTTTTTGTGATGCTCTGGGACTCTGGGAGCCATCACGAGCAGAAACTAAGGCCATCGCCACACAGAGAGGGCTCGCCCCTATTCCGAGGACTGTTTTGGGCCATGGAATCTCGCGACTTTTCAGCGGGTTCCGGTGGTGCCATCCTTCAGGACATCTACACGTGCATTGGCTCCGGAGATCGGCAGCAGAGTGTCCTCTGGCTGGCGCAGGCAGGATTTCTTGGATGGATTCGGGATGACTACAGTAGACGGCTGGAGCATGAAGCTAGTTTCTCTACTCAAAAGATCGTCCCGCCAGTCCCGCAATAACTCGATGTGTTTTCGGTGTCAGAAAGCTTATGCGATAAGTTTGGAATCGCCTGGAACGCATCATGGACGTTCAGGTGTGCTCGATTCATCAGCTCGATGACTCCGTGCTGTTTGTCTGTGTCATGCTGCTGGATCGCTACTGCGCAACTTCTGAGGACTGAAGCCTTGCCAGCACGGTCGCATCATGTTCCGGAGCACTGTCTGTGAGAGGATCGTATGGAACTTGGTCGGGCTCATCGTACCGTCCTGGCGATTTTCAGCATTGCCTTGAAGGCCGAAGTCATCTTGTTGCATATGTTGCATGCGCATGCAGGTGGTCTGTGTCTGCCTAGAGAGATGCACAGGTTCTGGGAGTGGCAGCTGGCGGCGGCAATCAACACGAGCACCTGCGGTTCATTGCCGAAGGGTTAGGCAGAGAGCCCAGGAATCGGTGGTCCGTCCGTTTTTCAGTTCCGCTATCATGGGTGTTTGACGAGCAGCTCGGTTCGTGGCGCAAATTTTCAGCCGTGCGCACGGAGGTGAGAACAAGTTCTCCAAGCAGGACATCATTCGTGCCGAACTGGAGGTTCTGCAGGTCCACTGGACAGGTGTGTCGACCATTCATTCACGCATGACCTTCCGACTCTAGGCCCTCGGCTTCGATGTGGTGTCGGGCTGAGCATGACCTCCCATCAGGGAGGGTAAGTCCCCTCCTAAGATTTCAGGGCAGCTGACTGAGAACAAGGCCGCCCATTCGCCACTGGACTTCCTGGAAAGCTTCCTATTCTCCGTGGAGAGGCCTCCTGTGAAGTACTCGTAGCCTTGATGTGTTTGGCTTTCTGTCACGAAGACTTGGGGCAGAGTAGTCCCGGATTCAGACTGGAGATCCGGAGAGTGCATCGTCGACAATCTAATCTTCCTCTTTTTGAAGGGAACTAGCAACTACTGTAGCTGCCAACTCGCTAGCTGCTTGCACCTGGGAGGCCTCGGCCGAATGGCTCCTCGGCAGCCGGGAGCTCGGTTTTTCTTAGCGCAGTGACCCGCAGTGAGCCCTGTGATTGCCGCAACCTAGATGTGTCTTGCGCTGAGTTGGTGTGCATGGCGACGTTTTTGCTGCAGCTGTCTCTGGGTGACGCCAACTTACTTCACAGGCCAGGTCTTCCCCTCTCCGCAAGTCTCTGTGCGGGTGCCCGGTTGCAGGTATCCGTACGCTGCCCTTGCTGCTGGAGCCGTCTATGTGGGTCTTTGGTGCACGCAGGCCTGGCCTTCTCAGTCTCCTCAGTCTTGGCCACCGGAGCCTGCTGTCCTTTGCGTGCAGGCGAGCCCTGAGCGCTGCCAGCTCCTGCTGCAAGATGTGAAGGGCTTACAAAACCCTTGGAGTGGCATATTTTAGCTACTAATATGAATAGCAAAAAATGCATTGAGATGCTTCGAGATTATTCGCAATGCTACTGCTGCCCTTTGTCGCGCAGGCCCGGGAGGCGTTGCGGGAGCCTCGGAGCGGAGAAGCGCTTTTGAGGTCCAGGAACCGAGTAACCCAGCCTCAGCCTCCGGAAGCCTTTGGGAGCGTCTCAGGTCTCCGAAGCCACCACAACCGGCAGCCCGGGTCCCCGGAAGGTTTCGGGAGGTCCCAGAAAGGGGAGTTTACGAAAACCCGCGAGGCCATGGACATGGTGCCGGAAGGCTTCGGCTCAGACCCTGTCTTGCTTGATGCTTTCTTCGTGTTCTTCTGTGCTCGATTCGCAGATGAAATCTTCACAGACTTCGATTTCGCCATTTGCGAAGTGTGAAGCTAGCAGGCGCGAGATCTGCAAAATTTTGCATAAAGCTCGTTTGGGGGTAAGGGCGAAAAGAGCGAAAGTCTCAGCAGGCTGTCGAGAAGGTCCCCTGAAGCTGGTCTTCGGTTGCTGTTCCTGACCTATCTCTAGCCAATCCGCGTTGGTCCGACTGGGCCGTTTTCGGATGGACAACAAGTGTCCACCTGCACGTAGGATGGGATCGCAGATTACGGCACCGCTGATGATGCGAAAAGATTATCCCATCACTGCGTGCTGCATCTTAGTTCCTAATCTGGAAGCACAGATTAAAATTCAAGCGATTCAAGTGCAGCTTGAGCCGACTGCAAAGCTGGCTTGTCCGGAGATCAGTCTGAACGCAGAGCCGGTGAAGCTGTCTCCAGGGAAGGCCCAATTCGCTACCCGCTCGCTGCTCATTTGAACCAATGTCAACGAGGTGGAACTTTCTTCTGTGTATGTTGTCGGGAATCTTGATGATCTTCCGAAGTGTGCAGCAACCACATACGTTGACTGGTTCGTGTGGATAGCTTTGCGTGCTGAAACGTCGATGCATTTTGTGCCAGCTCAATGCAGAAGTTCATGGTCAGCGATTTGGCCTGCTACGTGCCCGGTTGTCATCGAGTGGCACCGAGTCTTGAAAGAGAGAAGTCGACCCAGCATTTCGACGTCACGTACGCGACTGAGCAACCTTTCGTTAGTTTAGACATGGAGGTGGCCAAGACAGACTTGCACAGGAACGTGCAGAGGGAATCAGAGGGAGGCTGCATATACATGGGCATATATGTACTTCGGACGCATGCATGCATGTATGCACACACATGGTATACGTAGTTAATTTGGCATGCATGTGTGACCAATGGCTTAGGTATGTACATATTCATGCATATGCAATCGATCTGGCCTTGGCCCTCCAACATATGAGTCGCGAGTAGTGCCACCTCGGCAAATTCATAGACGGCTGTGTGTAATATGCATGCCGTGCAGGCCCTAATTCGTTCAGGGGTCAGGGGTAGATAGTAGTTTGAGGAAGTGTGCTGCGCGCAACTGCTAACTGCTGACTACTTATGGTGGAACGAAGCCAGTCCGGGTTTCCTGAGCTAGGCTTGCGAGCGGCACATTTTCGGTATTCCCTGCTTCCAGCGCTGGCAGCATGCAACTCAACTGTCTTGAATTTATTTTCATGCCCTTTGAGTGCTTCATGTTAGTGTTTTTCTAGCATCAGCAAGTGGTATCTGCACCATGCTGGCTGCATGCGGGGGTGAAGCTGGGATGCTTTTGGAGTCGTCGATCTGTGATCGTGGAGACTGCAGACCCCTTGAGACTACTTTGGGTTTGGCCTGCAGCTCAACTTGCGGACTTTGCTGCAAGCACCGCAGCATGTGACGCGAGTCAGATGTGACGTTTCCAGACACCAAGTGCAGGCAGGGAAACCTGTCCTGTGGCGTGTGCTCAGTCTCGCTGACTGACCTAAACCCTATGATGCTACTATGACGGGAGTTTGAGTCGACTCAGTCGATCGGCCAGGGAACTGCACCGGCTCGACAAGGCGGTCTGATGTCTGTTCTGTAGTTTGTGAAGTGTTCTAGTGTGTTTCGGATGCGTGTCGAGGGAGCTGCAGGATCCCCGCAAGCCTGGCGGCCTGGCGGCCATTCTTAGCGCCTTCGAGGCTCTGAGGTTTAGAAAAAAGGACTGGAGACCGACAGCGTTTGATGTCACACGAGTTCGAGACTTGATGTGCCCTGACGACATAGGTCACTGAAACGCAGTTTCACATTCAAGACATGAGCCTCACACGACATCAGATGCCACACCGCAGACGGAGGCTCGAGCAAAGCTGCTCCAGTGCGCTGTGGTGTCATGGGCTGTCGCGAGCCTGGCGGACGAGTGGAGGCCAGATCGGGAGGAGGCCTTGGCGCAGAACTCGCGGAGCGTGAGAAGCCGAAGGCAGGAGGAGGCGATGGCGGAGGCGGCGGAGCTGAGGAAAGATAGCTCCACGCTATGCAAGGACGGAGGGCGAGCAGGTTGTGCTGTTGCAGCTCACATCTGGCACCGTTCCGTGCATCTCACAAGCGCTCTCCCCACCCGACTTCCCCCAATCTGCATCATTCTGCATCGCGGCGCTGGTGCGGCTGGGCCACTTCCCACAGTGCCAGTGCGAGATTGCAACCTTTTTGCCAAGCCGCCCAGCCCTGGATTCCAGCTTGACGTTGCACGTGCTCGGGAAGCTGGGGACAACGAGAGGCCTGCAGGTCCTGCAGGCCTCTCCTGGATGGGCGGCTGGAGGAAGGTCGCAGTCTCGCAGTGGAACGGTGGGAAGTGGCGCAGCCAGAGGCGCTGATGAAGGAGGAGGCCAGTAGCTCCGGCCTCTCCAGAGATGCAGCGGCCATCGCACCCATCATGCAGTACTTGGCCCAGAAGTTCCAGAATGCTGCTTTCTGAGGACCAGTGAAGGGTGCTGGACCGTTCTGGGCCGAGCACGTGCGCACGTGACACTGAAGGCTGTGATCGCGAGGCTGGGCAAAAAAAAGTTTTGGTGAACCGAAGCAACGCGAAGTGGTGCAGCTGCACCAAAGCACACAGACGAGACCTTGCGGAGGAAGGTGCTCCGCGCACAACTTGTGTAATTTGTTGCTGACCATGGTGTGGAAACTGGCCCTAATGCTTGGGAGTGTGCCACCACAGCCGCTAGTCCATGTGGCTAGACCCAAGCTGCAAGCAACTATCACCAGCGGCGAGTCCAAGCACAGTCGGAGTAGAACCATCGGATCATCGCTGCGGTTTCATAATGCACTCTCTTCGAAAGACTTTCGAGCTTCCGAGGAGGGCCCAGGAAAGGTAGAGTGCCGAAACACGACGGCGGCGCATGCTACCCGCCAGACTGAGACGTGAAAGAAAAGAGCTGCCCTTGGGTCGCTTCGCTTATCTTCGGTTGTCCTGTGGCTTCGAATCGAAACCTGTGGAGAAGTACGCAACGCCTAAAGCCACTACATCGGATGTATGGGAGTTTCCGAAAATAGCGGACCCTAATATAGTTCGCCAAATAGTAGGATCCTTTTTCTAAGGACCCCCACATAAGGTACCCCTAATTTTCCGTCTCGCTAGGAGCTGACGTTCCGAGCGGCCTGGCTGGACACCGGGCTGCCATTCTCTCGAGCCCTGGTTGCAGCGAATGCAGCGACGTAAGAAAGTCCCCCTGGTCCCCCGGCATAGTCCCACATATAAGTGTAGTTTAGCAGCTTAGCATAATATACCCCAAAACTGGCCCAAAACCTACTATTCTCTAATTATTAAGGCGATCCCAAAAGGAGTCTCAGCAATTGGGCAGAGTGCAAAGTTGACCTGGCGAGGACAGATCTGCCTCGTTTACGACGATGTTCTGGCCAAAGCGCCAACTCTCCACGCTCTCCTGGAACACCTTGCGGAGGTCCCAGAGCTGTGTGTTGCTTGCTTGGTCTTAGCAGTTACCAATACTGGTTTTGGGGGTTCGTCCTTATACTTATCGTATAATGGGCCCCAAAACCCAATCCTGATTATATGTATGTGTCTGGTACACCTAGCAGCCACTGCTGAAGTACGAGATTTGGCCCACAGCGATGGCAGGTCTTTGGCGTTCGACCAGTCCTGGGCTTATGGCTTTGTGACGGAACTCTGTGTTTTTTTGCCATCTGTTGCACGGGACCGAGTGGGTAACGCATGAGGCTCCCTGACCCGTGCTGCCGACTGTAGTCTCAAGACCTTGTAGAGACTTGTCCAGGACTCCCCCCGTGATGAAGATGACAACTGTGGCGAAGAAGTCTGAGCAGTGGAGACACCGGGGAAAGTATCATGAGTGTCCTCCAGTGTCTTGATGACTGGCTGATTTGGCGAATCGTCAGTGCCGTCGATCCTAGAGACTGGCAGCTCCTGTCGACCACTTGCCGGTCCGTCGGCAACTTCGTGCTCGCCTTTCTGCGCGGTCTGCACATTCTGGACCTCTCAAGCATCGGCAACGTTAATCTGAAGCGGCTGGCATGTGCCTGCCCAAACCTTGAGGAGCTGTGCTTGAACACCCTGCTGATCAGAAGCCAATCCCTGACGTATGTGTCGAGCCTGTCGAAGCTTCAAGAGCTGCAGCTGCGCGAGTGTCCGCTCTTGACGGACGCTGCACTGCACTCGATCTTCAGCGGCTTGGATCTCCAAGTGTTGGATGTAAGCTGGGCAGCCGAGTTCAGCGATGCACCCTGGGGCCTTGCGCCAGCATCGTTGCGTGAGTTTCGCGGGGTTGGTTGTGAACATCTGACCGAGAGGGTAGTTGTACATCTGTCAAAGAGGTGTCCGCATCTCACAGTGCTCCACTCCTCTCGGCATATCAATTGGATCGGAGCGGCACGTCCAGAGCTGTTGGCTTCCCTGGTTGACATGCAAAATCTGCAAGACGTCGCATTCCAAGACATACCGCTGGATGATGACCTCCTCTACACTCTTGCTTGCTTGCCTTCCTTGTCCAGGCTTGAACTCTGGTCCTACAACAGCGATCATTACATCACAGATGCTGGCGTGATCTGCCTCGCTGAACACCTCCGGAAGTCTCTCACCAAGTTGAGCTTGGACTCCTTCGTCTTCCATGGGACGGGTGTTCTGGCTGCACTGTCGAGCTGCTCGCTGCAAGAGCTCCTGCTGGAGGGTACTTCGCTGTGCCAGATGGGTCGTGTCGACGGCGTGGAGCTCGCACCCAGCCTGGTGAAGCTGCGACTGGCAAATTGTGGCTTGGCCGGGGTCATGGACCTCTCGCGTGCAGCCGCACTCGAGTACCTTTGGCTTTTCGACAACCCCGGACTTCAAGGTGTGCAGGGGGCTGGGCAGCAGCTGAAGACCTTGAACCTGGGATCCACCGGTTGCAGAAGCATCGAAGGCTTTCGCTTCGAGGGCCTGGATCTGCTGGATGTCTCTTCCACCTTGATTTCGGACAGAGTTTTCGAGGGTGTCCTGCTGGCAGCTCCCCGGATCACTCGAGCAGTCCTCGGCAGCAACGTTCTGCCTCTGCCCCTGCTGATGGCCTTTTTGCGACAGGCAACACACCTCAGGAATCTAAGCCTCGTGGGTGCCGAGGGCAGTGGGCTCTCGAATCTGGCCAGGTTTCTGTGGGAGACCCGTTCGAGGAGCTCTGGTGTAGCTCCGGGGCTGGAGCTACTGGAGATCTCGGAGGATTCGTGTGCCATGTTGGCCGAATGGCTTACTATGGAGCTGGATCACATGGTGCTGAAGAGAAGCAGCAAAGACATCCGTATGTGGATCATCGAGCAGCACCGGCACAGCAGTCCATATGGTAGGATTGATGGGGCTGATGACTCCTGGCTACCAGCGTCCGTCCCAGCATGAAGCGGCTCCTCGAGCTCGAGCGGCCCAAGGCCACAAGAGCCAGTCGCTGTGCAAGAAAAGCCGCAAAGCGAGCGGAGCTCGCGGAGCTCCGGCTCTGAGCAGCTCGGGGCTCGGAAGCTCAGTGGTTTTGCCCTCTGTTCACGAGGTCAGCTGCATGGCCAGCTTGCGCCCTCGGCTTCCTTCGGGTGCCTGGTCTTGGACTCACTGCCACCGCGAAAGGTACAGACATGGCGGCGACTTCTGCAACTTGCATTTCGACGAGCTCGGAACTTGGAGCTTTGTCGGTTCTGGCTGAGGGAAGGCGAGAGAGTGAGAGCAAGTGAGGCGGCGAAGCAGCCTGTCAGTTCAAAGGCTTTTCTGCAGTGTCTCATGGGCAGCTGCAGGTACTCCAAAGGTGACGGCAAGATAGACTTTAGCATTGGATTCACGTTTGGGGAGGCAGGTGGAAGCCTGGACAGACCAAGAAGGGCTCCGGCTACTTGTGCAGCTGCGCAAGGACCGCCAGCTCGTTTTCGAGCACCGTGAAGGCCACAAGGCCACAGACTTTGCCTGGTCATAGGAAGACTGCCCACCCGGTCGTGTTGACAGGTGCAGTTCGCTCTTCCGCAGCGGAATGGCGACGTCCACGCTTTTGGCGAGGCAGCGTGGCGCCTGCGGAGTTATCACATGGTATCACTTATCGTTGTGACAGCCGGCGACTCGAAGGGAACTAACGGCCGCTGGCGGCACGGAGCACCAGCCTTACTCACTTGTCCTTGCCAGGCACAGCACAAGCAAGGAAGCTGAGAATTTCGAAGGTTCCACCCTCCCTGGAGTGCAATGGCCCGAGCATCAGCATCAATGTTTGGGGCTCCCGAGGCTCCGCTCCGGTCTTGTCGAAGGCGAACGCAGTCCCGGTAGTGTCGCTTGCAGGCCACGAGGAGTTTGACATGCCCGTCTCTCTGCCAGGCCGCTGTCGTGGCTGGTAGGTTTCGCAACAGTTCGGAACAATTCCTTGAGCTCTTTCCAGAACTTTCGGGCATTGTATCAGGTCGGTTTCCTCGGATACACTTTCAAGATCCAGCTGCTGCTTCGCATCCCCGCGAGTGCGAGGCACACCTTGAGTAGACAGTCCCCGAGCCGAAGCCTTGCATGGCAAAAGAACTCAGCGCGAAAGGCCTGTCATCGCATCGCTGAGCAGGGTCTTCAACCGAGTCTGGCATGGCGTGCTCTCCGTCCTTCTCTCCTTCTCTCCTGCGATTGCAAGGTGGCTTCGACTTGGACCGCCGGTGGAGCTGCCGAAGCTGCCAGGCTGACCTGGCCCAGGGCCTCGGCTGGCGACCGGCCTCGGCGGAGTCCCCCAAGGAGGCGACCGACGGCCTCACGGTGAAAGGTGCGCAGCTGGCCTTGGCCATCTTGGCTGGACGCCGGAATTATCTCTTTCGCAGGGCAAAGTTCCCTGATGGGTGGCACCTTCCCGCATGCACCAGCAGGCTTTTGGCATTTCTCCAAGCGTTGTTTGGGACGGGCTTCATCTTCGGGCTGTGATTGCAGTGAGCTGTGTGCTCAGGTACGCCCTTCACGTTGCCAAGGAGTATCCAGATCCAGAGAGTTCCGAAACTCTCCAGCTTCAGGGAGAGTGGCCGTCAGCCCCGGCGGAAGAAGACCTGCCGCACGAGGCTTTCGTCGGCCTCCTCTATGTAAGAGCTGAAGGCTTCGCGGCGAAAAGCGTGGACTGGAAAGGGGCTTTCCGGAAGTATTATGTTGCCAAGACGGTGGCATTGCAGGATCCGGGATTGCAATGCAGCTGGCTTCTGCGCTGAAGCTGCAGGGACTTAAACGCCCGGTGTTGAAGCTGCAAGGACCCCTTACCAGCTCGTTCTCCGGGAATACCGGAAGAGCCGTGGAGGCTGAGCCCAACAGCCCGGCGTGAAGTGTCGGAGCTGATCGGGAAGATTTACGAGCCGCTTCACAGCAGTGGTTCAGCTTCGCGATGCTTCGTTGCAGCACGGCTTGCGCTGTACCAGAGCCGCCGTTGAACTCAGGAACGCCCATGCTGAAAGTTCATGGACTCACGAGCCCTCCTGGTCAGCCGCCTTGTCTCAGCTTCCATCTGAGACCGTTGTCGACTTTCCGTCTTTGCCACATCTCGACGCGTGCAGGTGGTCCAAATGGTCTGCCTGGGACTGGGGCGACTGGGCCTGGAGCGACGATCGGGCCTGGAGCGACTGGGCCGAGAACTGGGGCTCCTGCCTCAGCCGCCTCAGCCGTACAAAGCACAGCTGCTCTCCGGCTCAGCGAGGCGGCTGGAGGTGGGGTCAAAACAGCTGGCAACAGGCCACAGCCGTGAATTTGCATGAGCTGTGGACGCTGGTTTGCACAGATCCTCCTGGTTCCACCCACAAACTCATGCTGCATGCATTGGGATCTGCAGTCTTTGGCCCCGAGCTTGTGTGAACTCACGCCATCTGCTTTTCAACACCATCCAGGTGCAGATGTGTTGTTGCTCCACAGATATGCCAGGACTGCAAACTGTGATGTCTTGAGGATGGCTCGTCGCAGCGCGTTCGGCCGTGCGGTGCTGCTCGTGGGAGCTCTGGCTCTGGTGAGGCTCGCGGCGCAAGGAGGGAGGAGGCTCGGGAGCTCTTTGGGTCCTCGAGTTGCTCTGAGGACGCTCTTTGGATCCACCGCCTTCACGGGCATGACTGGCAAGAACCTCTCTTCAGGCGGCCGCGGCCCAGGCGGCTTCTTCGCTTCAAGAGGGAGGGTCCCGTCGAAGGACCCCAGTGCCAGATCGTGGTGGCTAGGAAGGCCAGAGCCGCGGCCCGGGGCGAAATGGGGTTCTGATGGGTCTGTTTCCGTTTCCTCTTTCGACAGGTGAGCGAGGGTGACTCGCTCCCATCCGTGGACGTGGATGTTAGCAAGCTGCTCTGGCATGTGCACCCTGAGCCGTGGGTGTGAGCTTGTGCATGTTGCAGCGCAGGCCCGGTGACACGGTGAACGTTGCCGAGCTCTTCAAAGGTCCCTGCAATCGGTCAAGTTGAAGAGCATGTTCCAAACATGAAGTGCAGGCAAGAAGGGCGTGCTCTTCGCCGTCCCAGGTGCCTTCACGCACGCCTGGCTCGTATTCGCCTGTGCACGTCCACCGTGCTTCAGTGGTCTTCGCCACAGGCCAACTTGCTCCGAGAAGCACCTGCCGGATCCTAGTCGTGCCTGTGAGTCGCAAGGGTAAGGGGGGCTGCTTCTCTGGACAAGCCGAGGCCAGGCTACATTGAGCAGTCAGAAGAACTGAAGGCCGCAGGAGCCGAGGCCGTGCGAGCGAGGAGATGAGTTAAGCTGCTCTTCAGCCGTGGACTCCTGCCTTTTGCAGCTCTGGGCAGGTCATTGCCTGCGTGGCCGTCAACGACCCCTTTGTTATGAGCTCCTGGGGAAAGCAGCAGGAGGCGCAGCCCTTTAATGGAAGGGAGCCGAATGGTGGGTGTAAGAGTGCGGAGGCTTGTAAAGGGTCTTCCAACTGGTCATGAGCTGGGCACCAATCCTGGTCATGTTTTTTCCAGAGACCAAGCGCTTGTGGCCCCACAGGTGTGTTGCAGGCGTGAATTTGCATGCTATGATGTGCTCCCAGGGTCTTCGCAAGCTATCGTTGTGGATAGCCTGAGATGGAATATGCTTGCAGGCCGAGGGCAAGGTCACGATGCTTGCTGACACCAAGTGCGAGCTGACGAAGGAGGGGACACGGGACACACACAGTGCTATGAATCAGTTCCGAGAGAACGAGAACAGGCGGCCCGCTTGAAATATCTAAAAGCATGCCTTCTCCTTCCATTCTTCAGCTCTGCGCTCTGCGGAGTCGGCGCTTGTCGAAGGCCCTGGACATGGAGCTGGACGCCACCGCCAAGCTCGGCAATGTTAGGCTCATGGCTCACGCCAAACGTGTGCCCTCTTAGTGTTGGATAGAAGCACCCCTGGATCACAGGTCGCAGCGATATGCCATGATTGTGGACGCAGAGGGCCCAAGCAGTGTGGGTTGCGCCTGGCTTTCTCTCGAAGTGTCGACGTGTCGGAAGACGCCGAGGATGGCAAGATCACCAAGCTGGCCACGGGCGACGACTCGCCGGCGGCTGAGACTCTCTAGTAGGGCCATGCCTGATCGGCAGAAGTGTGGCAGATTCCCAGTACTGGGAACTCTGGCAGTCAACTTCTAAATCATCCTAAGGTTCGCGCCTGACATCTTGGAAGCCCTCAAGCGCTGAGTAGCTGAGCACAGGGTCTCAGTCATCCGTGCTACTATTGCATATGTATGCAGGTTTATATCACGCTGTCTAGTTGAAGATGTGTTTCTCCAATGCAATCAGGACGAGTGTTTCATGCATCATGATGGCGGTATGTGAAAGCCCAACATCGTCCCTGCGGAATGAGGTCTCTGCCTTGCGGAGTGGCGACTTCTTGATATGAATTTTCGAGCTGGGTCTCAGTCCTCCAAGTGATGCCACCGGCCTGACAAAACAGCTTTCCCACATCAAGGACTTTTACCACACATCACTTGCGGACGACCTCGCACTAAACATGTAACTCTTGAGGACCTCGCACAAGCGTGCGCTATGCAGGGGTCACTCCAGACTCTAGGATCTCGCGATTCTGCGCCGGTGAGAATGTGCATGCCTCTGCTCGCAAGACCGCTGCTAGTGCTTGACGGCGTTGCCACAGACCTGTCAGAGACCCTGGCCTGAAACTCCTGAAGAGGCCTGGGCTCCGTCCCAGGATGATGCGGTGGCTTGGAGCAGTCGCCTCAGCCACAGCACGGCTTCCCACGGTGCTGTCTGGCTCCGGCAAACCTAAACTGACCTGAACATACCTGAACCTCTTGAATGTAAGCCTCGTGGTTTCTGCTTCTCTCGAAGGTGCCGGCAGTGGCGAAGGCCAGGAGCTCCAAGGTTTTTTGTGTTTTTTTGTCGCATGGATCCTTGCTTTGTGCGTGCGACTTTTCTGTGTCATACCCGCTGATCGGCTCAGACAGGTATCGAACCCTTCCCTACACAGAAACCCTACTTGTAGAACCTGGAATGCCCGCCTTCTGGTGCAACGAAGCTTGAGGGATGCGGTACCAAATCCTCACTGGCTGGCTGCTTTTGGTGAGCTCGCAGGATGTGGAGTCCGGTTTTGGAAACACGTTTCCGGAGCTCGAAGAGGACATCCTGCTGCTCCAGATGGACGTGAAGCTCTCGCGCGGTCTGACGCAAACTGCGGATGCCACTTCGGTTTCGGAGGGCTTCCAGGCAGCTGATTCGGAGAGCCCAGCCCTCCTTTCCGAGAGCTTCAAAAGCGAGGTGGAGGGCGGTGTGATGTTTGGACCGAAGACCAGTGCAGCCTTGTTTTTACTGTCCAGCTGTACCTTTGGACTGCTGTGCTTATGTGGTGCGAAGCCATTCATCACAGCTCCGTGCCTTGTCCTCAAGCTCCTCCCCTTGCGTGGCCCGCTTCTCAATACTTTTTTGGCCACAGAAACCGGGGAGTTTCGGAAAATGCGGGACTGTTGTAGAGACATGTAGCAGCAGGATCCGTAGTCTCTGGATCTCCCAAAAGGCGAAAGCTCCCTACCGTATGAGCCCTCTAGCCGAGGTATTCAGAAGTACCTGAAGAGGAGGGAGAAAGCGAGGAGGTCAAAGAGCAGTCGCTCCTGGTGTGTTACACTGTTGTGCCTCAGCATGCTTCATTCATATACCACCGTTCTTCTCAGGGCCTCAATATTCGGATCGCTCTGGTAATGCGTTCTGGAGAGTTTATGAAGACTGCTAAACGCTAACCCTTCTGAAGACTTTATTTAGAACAGGAGGTTAATGATCAGGGATCTCAAGAAAGGGGTCGCCCCACTTAGGTAAGGGTTTAACATGAGGGGCTCTCTATAGGTGTATTGCTGATCCTAGTCTTAATTCTTGAAACTAGGGTCCACTGTTTGTCTGAACTTCCATGTGAAGCCCTTCTCTGATGCCTCGTGTCAGGTCTTCATGGACGCCTTTGGCTTCGGCGTTTACGCGCCCTTCATCCCGATCCTTTGCCAGACCTTTAGCTTGCATGCCCACCACATGGGAACTGCCCTTGCGACTTGGACAACGGCTTATGGCAAAGACTTGCGGACAATAAGCCAGTAATCATGTTGGTGATAGCAGTATTACCAGCAGCATCACCACCATCACCGTCATCGGTCCTTGTCTTGTTCTCATCGTTCTTGACTTCGCCAGGAACGGTTTATTATGTATGTATGTATGTGCGTATATATATATATAGAAATGTATATGTATGTATATGTGTATATATATATATATATATATGTACCCATGTTACGTGTTTTGGTGTCTGCAGCAGACTAGTTGGAGTCAGCCTGAGCTTGACATGAGCCCCTCCGAGGCAGCCTTTTCCTTGGCACAGGCACTGGCAACGCCCTTCTTGGGATACCTCTCAGATCGCTTTGGACGCCGGCCGGTGACTTGGCCCACCTTTGACGGACCGACCGACAGACATATTTCTGTGCACACTTACAGGCTACTACTGCTGCTACTGCTGCTGCTCGTGCTGCTGCCGTTACTGCTGCCACCGCTGGCTGCTGCTGCGACCACGACGACGACTACGACGACTAAGACGACTACGACGACTGCGACGACCACGACGACTACGCAGCCTACGACGACTACGACGACTACGACGCCCGACGACGGCGAACGACCACCACGACACCCACAACGACAAAGTTGCAAGTCCTTTTGTTCGTACTTGTGTTGCTTTCCTGCTGAAAACAGCTGTCAGGTACTTTTAGGAGCTCTGGCCGCGGAGTCTCTAGAGTCTCGGCACAAGTCGGAAGGAAGGCATTGTGCGGTACTTACTTCACGCAGACTTAAGGCTTACCTCATCCTCAGCATAGCCGAGAGTTTCAGCTGCCTCCTGGTGGGCTACACCCTGGCTGGGGCATCCTGCGGCACCATAGGCAGGATGCCAGAGGTTCACCAGATTCTCAGAAAAGACTTGAAGATCTCGACAGACAGAAGTTCAATGCTTGTGCATTCAGGTGTGTGCAATGCGTACATTGCGCAGAATTCCTCTGAGGAGGACTGTGCCTCACAGCAAGGTTTTTGTGAAAGCTGCCGGAGTCATGCACGTCAGTCGCCGAACAGATGTACTGTTGCTCGTGGGATTTGGCTCAAGCATGACAAAACCCAGGCCCTTTCACGGACCTTCGTCTGGTGATTCTTCGTATATGTTGCGAGCGTCCGGCTGAGTTCAGCATGTCCAGCGCGGAGGAAAGCCCTCCTGAAGCAAAGCCTCTCTCGACAGGAGAGCAGGCACAGCACGAGTCATACGGTGCGCTGGGTGCCGCAGATGGCAACCAAGCCACCACCACCTCATGGGAAGCCGAGTATGCAAGTCCGTGGGCGATTTTGTTCAACACCTTGGCACTAGTTGGATACCAGATTGTGGCCATGGCAATTATTACTTATCAGGTGTTCTACAGGCGTCACTATGTCATGTCATGCTTCCATAACGAACTATGCACTTGGCAGTTGTGGGCTTGTGAATATACAAAAGCCTATACGAGGTTCTTCCCCCTGATTGCAATCCTCATTTCAATGAGTTTGGCACGAAGCATGATCCTGATCCAGCGAATGTATTACGAGCTGTTGCGGCACGGCGCTGTTCTGCAATTCAGAGAGTACCAGACAGACAGAGAGCCGGTCTTCTACATCTTGACGTTCTGTTTTGTTCAGGGTGCCGCGAACTGGGTGTTGGATGCATTTACTCCAGGCACTGATTCGAGGTACTGGACAGAGCCGACACCCTACATGAGCCCGACAGAGAAGTTGCGGCAAGGGATGATGTACTTGGCCTTACCCATGACAGCCTTTATTTTGTCCATTTATTTCACACATGAGCCGACCTACTACTTGGTGCCACTGAGCCGGTACCTCCACGCAAGTACCTCAGAGGGATCTGAGGCGGCGCGTCGAAGCTTAGCCGGCCTGGTTCTGGTGCATGAGGACTTCATTGCGCCCGCGGTTAAGCACATTGAGGTGCCAGTTTCCAGTGATCCAAAAGAGGCCGATGGAGCAACCCGTGCTGTTTATCGGGAGTTGATCAAGACAGCACAGGACTTGGAAGGTGGAGGAAGTGTCATGATGGGGAAGAAGCGCATGATCGTCCTGAAGAGCCAGATAACGGATCGCTTCTGGCCGGCCAGATTGCTATTCAACCTAGAGCTGGCAGACGAAGGCAGTCAGCAGTTCCGGCTCGTGAGCAGATTCTACGATTTCGCCATGGCCTAAGTGGTGCATGCAATCTTTTCGTCACTTTAGTCCCGACTACTTCCGATCATCTCGCGTGCTTGGGAGTTTGTCCTCTTCAGTTGTCCTTCGGGTTTGCTGTGCTAGTGGGAGGGTGGCCAGGTCCACACGGTCTTAGGCAGCTGTGCTTCGAAGTTCGAAGCATGCACGACTAGTAAACTAGGCCGCCGATGTCCTCGCTGTGACCAGAGACGCCAAGGTCTGCATCTTTGCGGCTGCCGTCTGCGCATTCATTTTCATCCAGCATGCTGTGTCAGAGTTCTGCGATATTCAGCGTGGTGAGATCGAGGATAGTGCAGCACTCGTGGTCGAGGCAGCTCATGCGTGTTATGCCCTCATGTACATCTACAAGATTTGGCACCGAACGTTGGTGCATTGACAGTGAGCCCAATGTGGTGCTCGAAGAGCTGTGCAAAGCGAAGCTTAGCAAGCGGCTCCCGAGAAAAAGCGATGCATGGTGAGGATGTCCGGCAGCACTACCTTCAACACTAAACTAGAATTCCCACCGAAGCATGTTGCAGTTGTTGCATCCAATGCTCATGGGAGCAACAACTGTCGGCAGGATCGCCCGGTCCGATTGGCATACAGCTCCGGCATCTTGCCGTAAGCGAGCTAGCAAGCATGTCAGTCATGCAGTGCGTAAAGGTAAGTCAAAGGAACATCGGTAAAAGTGTATGTACGTGTACTATGTATATATTGTATGTTGTAATGTGAGATGTGAGATGCTGTGCATCGTGGACCGCTCTCTCTGTCAAGGCAGCATCGCCCTGGGCCTCATGCTTGGCCCCGTGGTCGGCGCGGTATCCGCCTGGGCTTTTTGTTGAAGCTCTTGCCTGCCTTTGGAGCTGCTGCGGTTATGATGTGATGATCTCCCAGGGCCTGAGCCACGAGGGCTTTTCAGCAGCCGTGCGGGTCTGTGCTGTTCTGAGCGCCGCGGCTGCAAGATGAAAGCGCTGCTGTTCAGGGCTTTTCGCCTCTCTTCGAGCTTCAGGCCTCGTGAATTGGCTGTTCGTGTTCAGTTCGCTCGCTGAGTCTGAGCGCCTTGCCTTCTATTCTCGGGTGAAGCAGAGTTCTTGATGTCTCCGTGGTTTGTGGGGCTCTGGAGACACGAGGAACGTGTTGCTGAGAAGACAGCCGAAGGAAGAGAGCCGTTCTGCGTCTCCTGGCAAAGACGGATCCGCAAGTGCCAAGAGTTTGTTGGGGTCCGGTCACGGCCCCATGGCCGTGCCCCTGAGGTTGGAGTCTCTTCCAAGGCTGGTGGCGTTCGGATCGTGTCTCGCACAGGGCTCCTGCTGGTAGAGAAGAGGCTTGCCTGGCCACTGTTCTTCGGCGCCTTCCTGGGCAATGCCGGCATCGCTGCTGCAGAGTCCTGTGGTGCGCTGTTGCGCAGCTGCAGAGCTGGAGCTGGGCTGTTTAGAGTTTAGACCAGAATCTCAGATGTCGAATCCGATGCCGAGCTTCGGAGTCGCGCCTTTCCTTGCAGATGAGGTTTGTTATGGACTCCTATTTCAGGGGCTCCTCCTCTGCAGCGGCGGAAAGCACCCAATTCTTTGCTTATAACATGATGATCTCTGGCGTCCTCGTGATCATGATCACCAACTTTGTGTTCCCGATGCTGATGCAAGCTGCTTCAGAAAGCCTTTCCTGCTTGTTTTCTACCGGGCAGACTAATCCAATGCAGCAGATGAGGCACACGCTGAGACAGCAGAAGACGATGTTCTTGGGCCTGGCCCCAAGATCCCAGCTGGTTGCTTCACCTCCAATTTTGCTGCGCTGAGGCGTGTGCCTGCGCATCGTTGGATACGCTGGCCTAGGATTGGCTCCTACCAAGCACTCTGGATGAACTCTGTGTGGCAGTGAGTCCGTGGGCACACTTGCATTTTTCGTGGCCTGTAGCCTTTGAACCCGTAGATCCGACGGCGAGGTGGTGCTTCCTCGCTTCGCAGCTGGCGGTCGTTACGGGCGACAGCCTCGCCGCACCAAACCTCTCTGCTCTACTGACGGAGGTGGACTTCCCTAGAGTTTCCGTTGCCAGTCCATGCCAATTGTTGTGGTCGCAGTATGCAGAGTCATAGCGGGCTTTGTCATTGTCGGTGAAGTTGCCGTTCCGAAGCCTTCGGAGTCCGCCGATACGGCAGGTTGTCGGCAAATCTTCCTATGGAATCCCAGCGGCAGTAAGGGTCGGCAATGCATATTGGTGTACTGCACAGACATGTACCTATGTGCAGTGTACATCGCGTAGATATGCGCATGTAGCGTTGTGGAATATGGCAAAGCAGCGACGCATTCATCATGGACTGGCTAACCACTAGATGCAAGATGGGTAGACAGAGGCGGCCTTGGTTTCGGAGATGCGATCAGAGAGGCTCCTTTCCGAGGCATCGCCCTGGGTACTTTGTCCACCTTCCAAGCAGCAGCCCGCGTCTTGGACACGCTGCCCTTCGCGACGATGTACGAGAAAGTTTCTCATTCAGCTGCTTGCAAGCAGGTTACTGCGATCTGGTTCCTGCAGGGTTCTAACCCGGTGTGAAACTGGCTACCTGACGCTGCTAGGCAGTAAGAACAAGGGAAGGTGCAACGAACTTTAGGCTGTACCGAACACCGCTTTTACAAAATCTGACAAAACGCCGCGTCACTTTGATGTGTTTGCGTGACACGACGGGCCAGGATTCAATCTGGGGCGCTGCTTTTCAAATTCAGGATCACCTGTACGGACGAGAAGCCTTGTAGCCGTCAGCAGTGCAGCTCAGGCACCCTTCTTGACCGTCGCTGTTCTCGCTGTGGCTTCTGGCGCTCTTTGGTTTGTTGTCTACTGGCAGATGCAGCTGCAATCTTTCAGAACCACTGCCTTGGGGCATGCGATGCCCGCCGAGATTCCAACTCGCTCAGGGTATCCGGTGAGCTGAACTCTGAGGGGCAAAAAAGCCGGTGCTGGCACTGAAGCTGTTGCAAGTGTTCTTCCAACTGGGGGAAAATGGCCCTTAACCCCAAACACCGAAAATCCCAACACCTCAACCCTGTCCAAACCCTAGCGCTGTGGAAAGTTTCCCGCTCAACGAGGCTTGCAGGACTTGGCACCGATGCCAGCAGAGACGCTCTTGCCGGATCCTTTTGAGCCCAAGCCCCAAGGGTTTCGGGTTTGGGGTTCAAGTAGAAGACAAGCAACATACGAATGTTGCGGTAAAAGGAAAGTATTGCTGGAAATCAGCATCAGTTGATGTATACGTGGTAGAATGACGGCCGATTGTCTTTTTCTTGTCGTCGTTCGCGCACACAAGTGTAAGTGGGGTAAGGTTTTTGTTAGCGGAATCAACACTCAACAACGTGCTTTGATGAGCCTTGTGTACATTCGCCGACACCCCTAGTATAGCCTGTTTCTCTGGATCTTTGGCGGCGTACGGGTAGGACCCGCGGATGCCTGCTCTTGGCAAAGCTTCCAAGGCCAGACGAGGCTCCACACGAGGATGCAGAGGCCCGGAACCCCAAAGAATCTCAAGCATCCAGATTGCCGGTCCTCTTTTGGCGAAGACGCTAGGTGCACGGCGAGGCAGATGAAGTGGAGGAGTGCTCAAGCGACCATGGTGGTCTTGCACTCCCGCCCGAAGCTCGGAGTTCTAATGGGGATGCCTTTCAGGTGTCCTTAGGGTTCTGCGAAGGGACTGCCAGAGCAGAACGATCCGCATCTGACAATGTTCGGAGTCGCAGCACCATCATGAACCCGTACGAAAATGGCACTCTTCTACCGTAGGTAATGGCATGTCTCTATAACATATTACAATGTGAGACAACATAAGATAGTAAGACAAGAATTAAGATAATATAAGATAATAAGAATTAAGATTACATAAGATAATAAGAACAGAACTAAAGAATTAAGATGATATAATAACGGCGTATCTAAAGATATACCGAGGCCCAAGGACTCTTGGAGCTCCGGATCTGACGGCGAGCGGGAGCGAGAAGAAAGTCCCCTCTGCATTCTGCCACCTACGGCAGGTGCTGCCTGGGTGTATGTCCGGGCATATGTCATAATATAAACAAAAAGAAAAATTGTGTACACATATAAATAAATTTCATTATGTTACATTGTATATATAAATATGTTGATGAAGATGTGTGTGGTCACCCTCCCCATGATCCATACCAGCCTTCTTGCTGACTGTTCTTCCACATCTGTTGTGTATGTCTGGTGTCGCAGGCATTGAAACCAGCGTTTTCTGTATACAGCGGCTTTTCCACTTCACGTGTGCTTACCACTACTTAATTGGCTAGTTTGCATCACACGAAAACCACCTGGGCCCCAAACGGATTACGTTTTGCATTCCGTGCTGCATGTCTACCGGTCATTTCTCGATAGTGGAGAGACCCACCAGAAAGCTCTTCCGCTTCCGGAGAATCAGTGTTGCGCTTTCAATAAGAAAGAATAGCTTGCTTCTTTTGAGTGGGAAATCTTCGTTCACCACAGAATAGCATGAGACCTCCACTTCCTCAGTATCAGTGGCCAATACATGACTAAACAGGGTTGTCTTTCTTCGTACAACTCCAGTATGGCATAGCCGAGTTTGATCATGATTTCATTTGTGTTGAAGTTCCTGTGTGTTACATCTAGAATAGAAACGAGTGCTCTTCTCATCTCTTCCTGTTGAGAAGAAAGCTAGGGCTGGCTAGAGAGCATCGTCCCCACCATGAAGCGAAATCGAAGAGGTCCTTCATAACCAGTCATAGGTCATAGGTTTCAAGAAGTTTCGTAACACGCAATGCGAGAAGTCCTTCATCTTTGTTCAAGCAACAGAAATTCCTACATGAGCTCGACAGTTTGTTATAGTTGCCCAAGAGTTGTAAAGCCTGAAATGCGAAAACGTTGCCAAGATCGAATCTCCTGGCATTTACAGGGGGTGCTTGTAATTGCAAGGATTTTGGGAATTTTGGGGAACGTTGATAGCTGCGAGGTGTTTGCATTCGGCTTCAGGATATATTGGTATGTTTGAGCCTGGTGGTATGTGCGCCAACCAAGATGAACTACATAAGTATAGTGACTGATCCTAGTAAGTCCTAGTAAGACATGTGTGGGCGTGTGTTCATTTTATCCGCATCATGTTCGTGTATGTGAAGACGTTGGGGGCATGTTCCGCGTGCCATGTACTCTCGAACCACGTTTGCGTTGGAAGGCCTAGAATGTTATATGCAGACACTGTCAAAAGATATAGGGATGTTCGGTCGACATGAATTGTACCAGCTTTTTGGAGTAGCAGAGCAGGGGTATTCCTGACCTGCAATGAGCTGCTCAACCTTGGAACGTCCTGTGCATATGTGCATATACATACATGTACATCATGTACATACATACCGAGCATACACAAAATGTTCGCGAATTTAGGCGGGTGTATATACAGTATATACATGTATACGTATGTCAATACATACATACATAAATATTTACACAGTACATACAGTACACTTACATGTGTGAGTTTATATGTATACATCTCAATCAAACAGAATGTGGAACTACAAAGATAAGTAGAGATGTATATACGGATATATGTACAACACCTACACTGCAAGTAGTATCGATAATCAAATAGAGAGTTGCAAACAGACAGGGAGACAGATCGACGACTGAACACCGGATGCCTTTAAGAAGACGTAGCTGCACATTCCCAGCACGGTTGTGAAGCTGCTATGTGCATCTGCTACAAGTAAACTTTTCAAACGGCAGTGTAAATTCAGATGTGTTGCGTAAGCTGCTACGTGAAATAAATGACACAATTCGTGAAGATGCCCTCTGTGGAATGGCGAGCTCCAGTCCCTCTCCGCTGCCGAGAGCTCTTGCGAACCCCGGGCAGTGGTGCTGGTTCAACGCAGTCTTGCAAGCGCTTGCAAGCATCAACGATCCGAGGTGGTGGGAAATCTTGCGATCCGTTTTGGATGGAAGTCACGAAGAGAGGGGCGGCTACTGCGAAGGGCCCAAAGACTTCCCGGCTTGCTTGGCCTCGGTGCTTCTGTACATCAATCATGAGATAGCTCTTGAGCCGGACTGCGCTAACAGCGTGGTCTGCAACCTGGCAAAGGCCATTGCGGAGGAGTGTGGCTTAAGCTCTGCCTGTGGTGAACAGCAGGATGCCCACGAGGCCTTGATCCAAATCCTCGAGGCACTGCATGCCGGGCTTCTGAAGCGGCAGCTGAATGCCATCCTTCTTCTGCAGAGACCCGCCTGGGATCCATTGCATCCTTGGTTGGTTCGAAGCGCTTCGTGGGCTCGTGCCACCGCCGCCTGCCGCTGGTTTCAAGATCCTTGGCGGTACTTCAGCAACGGTTGCGCAGCTCACTTTGGGTATAGCCCGACTGCTCACAGGTGTCCAGTGCCCATCCGAAGTGTTTCGGGACGCCTCAGGAGCTCTGGCAGGGGACCTTGGAGGAGAGGCGGGTCTGCAGCGCGTGCGGGCTCGTGAAAGTGGACGTCTGCTCCTCCAGACAGGCCTTTCGTTGCCTGTCTCTAGACATGCTGCAAGGTGGCCAGCTTTCATTCTCCATTGACTTGGCAAGTTTACTGCACCAGTCCTATGGAGGGAAGGGTGTCGAGGAGATCGAGGGCTTGGTGTGTAGCCGCTGCTCAGCACGTGCCAGCCGTCAGAGATGTTTGCAGGAGGCTCTCCGGGGCTCTTTGGTAGCACAGAAGGCGTGCAGGCGTTTGGCGACCTTTGGAGATGCAATCCAGGAAGCAGAGCATCTTAGCCTGCTTTGCCCCGCGGGTTCTCCAGAACCCCTGCTATGCCGCACCACGCATTTTCGGTCCTTCAGGATCCACAAGGCACCTGCGATTCTGACGCTGCATCTGCGGCGACTGGTCCATGGTCCTTGGGGCCTGGTGCGATTGCCCAACCCTGTGCGGTGTCCAGCTGCCATGGTACTGGACAAGGCCCTTCACAGCTATGCCTTGGCTTCCGTGGTCTCGCACTTGGGCACGGCAAACCAAGGGCATTTCATCGCTCACCGAGCCTGGCACCCGCGTGCCCAGACTGAGAAAGAAGCCTTGCCAAAATCTTACCTGCCCCTCGTCACGTCGGGCAAAGTCGATCTGTGGTCCTTGGCTCAGTGGCCTGCGCTAGCAGTGCTCAAGCCTCCAGTGCCTATGACCCAGGTGCCCAGTTCTGGCTTCGCTGCGGTTCTTGAGATCCTGGCGGGCAGGCGGGCCTTGGCCTTGGCGGGCCTTGACGGAACGGCAAAGCATTCTCTTTCCGCCCTTTCCTGCCAGGCTGCCTAGTGCGTGAGCCGGATACCTCAGCCCGGCAGTGTCAAGCCTAAGGGCCTGGAGCCTCGGGATGATCGAATTCTCCGCGTCAGGTCCGAGGTGCAGCGGAGGACCTGGGCCGGCAGCCCAGCATTCCGGTGCACAGGCGTTGGCGCATGTCTGCTTCGCCGCTGGCGACTTGCTCAGCAAAGAAGCTTCTAGGCGCATAGCTAGTGCTCCTTATGCCACTAATTGCCAGCCAACCTAGCATCGTGAACCCGGTGAAGCTAGTGATGGGGGCATCTCTGGTGGTGGCATGCCTCGTGCCCGTGCTGCGCTCGGCGGACGTTTGCACAGATGGTGCAGTATGTTCGAGCAGCTGCCTGGCCCTACATATGGTATATATATATATGTATATATATATATATATGTGTGTGTATGTATATATATATATATACATACATACATATATATATATATATATATATATGTATGTAAGTATGTACGCAAGTATGTAAGTATGTACGTAAGTATGTAAGTATGTACGTACGTATGTATGTATGTATGTATGTATGTATGTATGTATATGTATATGTATATGTATATGTATATGTATATGTATATGTATATATGTATATGTATATATGTATATGTATATATGTATATGTATATGTTAGAATATTATAGAGATTGTGTATACAGGTACATAGTTATTCACGTACATACATGCATACATACATACATGCATAGGTACACACAGGCATGGACACATGCACGGCATCATCAAGCTTGGTTGTGTCGTTTTAAAGCGGTGCTGAGGCTCGAGGTCTCCCGCAGATGGCGACAGACCATGCAGCTCCTTGTTTGCGCTCTTTGAGGAGCTGTGCGATTTTTTTGGACAGAAGTCTATACTTTGCAGTACCCTGACAGTAACCACATAGTACCGTTAAAGTTAAAGTATCCTGGTAGTAGCCTTATGATTATTAGCCGAGATCAGTTTTCACTGTCATCGTTTCCGGCTTTCAAGTTCTTCAGGTGAAGTTCTGGAAGTGCTAGCCCCAGGGGAACCGAGCATCTGGACAAGGACAAATCCCGCAGCCTCCTGGCTTAAAGCCTTGGGCGGTTGCCGGCAGCACAGGCACCTAGACGGTTCTCGTGGTCACGGAGAAACAAGATTCTGTGAGGTGATACGGGAGGCCGTGCAATCTACGGGATGGGATTTGGTCGCCTTCAGCCACCAGGACCGCGTTTCATGCTTTCGCTTGTTATTGGTCATTACATGTAGGCTTGTAAGAAAAGCCGTCATAGCTAGTAGAACGCAAGCAGGGTGCTTTATGACCGTGGAGATATTCTGACTACATTCTTTAGACTGCCGCATTTGCAGGGGCTATCATCCCGATTTGGCTCATCGTGGCTTGGCAAGACTGGGGACCTGCCACAGTCTCTCTCATCCTCCACAGCTCTATAAAACCCTCATAAACCCGTTTGCAGAGCATGCAGAGCCTTTTCCAAAGCATGAAGCCCCCCACCCTAGTATTATACCATACTATTATTTCAGATGACTATACCATATTACTATCACTGTACTAAGATTCGGGGCCGCTCGAAGTCCTCGGAAGCCAAGGCGGCTCAAGGTCTTCAGTCCGGCCCAGGCCGCTCTGCTCGACGGTCAGACCTCGCGGATGCATACGCTCAGGCAGGTTGAGCATCAGCGCTCTCTCTATCTAGTTATCTATCTTTCCTTCTATCTGCAGGTTTATAGAGTTTCATATGCATACATATATGCAGAAAGCGTCGCACTGCAAGCCCGAGTATACATGTACATAAAACATTATACTGTTTACCACATACATATACATAGAGTATGCATAAACATAGACATATATGCATTCATCCATATACATACATATACATACATACGCATACATATACATACGTAGACATACAAATGTCTACATATACAAGTACATTTATACATACACATATACAAATACAAGTGCATATATACATCTCCACATACACATACATATGTACATATACAGATACACATACGCATACAAACTATACACACATATACATATACAATATGTATATGTACCTGTTTATCACAGACTATAGCACTGGTTTGACAGGGTCTTTACAACGGTCTGACCGTTCCTGTCCCGGGCTTAACCGAGAAAAGGCAATCTGTGTTTTTGCATGTACGAGGTTCTTTGCAATATATACACACAAATGTAAGTTATAGTTGTTATGGGTGTATATGTGCATGTCTCTGTGCATGCATATGTGCGTCTGTATGTGTGTATATGCATATGTGTGCGTGTGCATGAAGGTGTACATGTAGGTTTATTCATTTATTTTCTTATGTAGATGTATATGTGCTTAATCATCTGTTCACGTTTGTTGGTTCGTTTGTTTGTAGGTAGGTAGGTACATACGTATGTACGTATGCACTGATGCACGCACGGACGCATGTATGTATGTATTCACTTTTCCCCATCTCAGTCTCAGCTGTTCTTCACAGGCACATCGTCGCCAAGCTGGACGACGCGAGGCAGCTCCATGAAATTGCAGGTGGAGGAGAGAGCGCGAGAGAGGCTGATTTGTGCTTCCCTCTCCTGATTCAGGGATGTATACGTAGATCTCAGTACTCCAAAACGAGGTGCGCCGGAGTGCAGGGATAAAGCCCTTCCTCAGCCTGAAAGAACGAAAGAAAGGAGGAAAGAAAAAAGAGACCCACACACACACACACACACACACACACACACACACACACACACACGCACACACGCACACACGCACACACGCACACACGCACACACGCACACACGCACACACGCACACACGCACACACGCACACACACGCACACACGCACACACGCACACACGCACACACGCACACACGCACACACGCACACACGCACACACGCACACGCACGCACACACGCACACACGCACACACGCACACACGCACACACGCACACACGCACACACACACACACGCACACACGCACACACGCACACACGCACACACGCACACACGCACACACGCACACACGCACACACGCACACACGCACACACGCACACACGCACACACACGCACACACGCACACACGCACACACGCACACGCCCACACGCCCACACGCCCACACGCCCACACGCACCCACGCACGCACACACGCACACACGCACACACGCACACACGCACACACGCGCACGCGCACGCGCAGACAAGCAGCACCTAGCCCAGGCAGAAGATCTACGTCTTTGATAATCAGTTCTTTCACAATGTTTCGGCCGGGGACCTGGCACCGATTCCGGAGACTTTCCTGCAGTTTCTCTGCAGTTCTGTGGCATTTGGGGTTTAATAGAGGGTTTAGGAGTTTGGGGTTCCTTTAAAGGGGTTCTATAAGGGCTACTATAAGGGTTCTATACTTTGACGACTGTTCGGGCGGCACGGGATTCTTTGGAGTAAGGAATGGCTGAAGATGGACTCGGCCGACAAGTTCCTGACTATGGGTGGGCCACTGGCCGGAACGCAGTTCCACTCACACGGCCCGGCATTCCTATTGCTCGCTTCCGGAAAGAAGCGCTGCTTGTCTCAGAAGGTCTTTCAACCGTGAGAACATACCGCAAGGTAAGGTAGTGCACTGCTGTACTAGTAGCTCACTAGCTGTCATGATAGCCTGTGATGACTGAGGTTGGTACCTGCATGCGCCGGGGCACTTTCCCAACATGACTGCTCGCGAGCTTCATCGCCCGGTTTCGGCGTTTGAAACCGACATCCTGCCAAATTTGGATTCACCTCCGCTTACGTGCGTGCAGAAAGCTGGGGATGCGATCTTCGTGCCAGATGGCTGGTCGCATGCCACAATCAATGTCGAGTCGACGCGCAGCTGCATGAGCACAAACTATAATCCACTCTACTGTGATTACACCATAACATGCTACATGTATGATGTGCAGCACAGGGCTAGAGTCACAAATCCATTGAATAGTTGTGTGTAGCACAAAAGGGAATCAATGGCAGTTCAGGACTTCCAGAAACAGAAGAAAATTTGATTTCGGATGCGAAAATAGGTCGTTTTCGACACAATCTTGCTTGTTTCCTACGACTTTCCGACTTTGCACTATTTGGTTGCGAGATTTGAAGAGTCTTGCTCCTATTGTCGAAAACGGATTGATGTGGGATTTCGGCGCGAAACCCGAGATAAACAAAGCACCGACATGGTTCATCGTCTGCACAATCACATTTATTTCCTATCATTTTCCCGTTGTTCCACTTGTTTTCTTCTTTGGGATAAAAGCAGGAGAACATATGGTTTGGCTGAGAAACCCTAGGTTTCGATGCAAAACTCGAAAAGCCGAAAATGATTTGTTTTCGACGCAGTCCTATTCATTTACCTCTTCTCAAGCCTATCGGCACATCATAATATTACAAGTTATGTAAAAGCTAAAGAAAACCTGTGTCACCAGAAGCAGATGTTTTACGATCGTGAGCCGATTCCATGGGCCTCAGGACGCTGGGGGTGGCCTGGCAGCGTACAACTTCCTCCAGCGAAATCTGTGTTCATGGCTTCGACTACTGGTGCCTCTACAAGAACTTAATCAGCGCAGAGAGGCACCTTGGCTTTGTTAGTGGGTCGCAACTCTGGTTATAAGAAACCAAACCTCAGCACTACGAGTAGCAGTCAAGGATGAGCCCGAAGAAGCAGCCTGCTCGGTACAAGGATACTGCACCTGCGTGAGCCTGCAGCCCGCAGCAGCTGTGTTTCTGGGGTCTCCAGGAGCTTTTCCAGCAAGCGGAAGAAGTCACCGGAGGATTCCCGGTCGGCTTCCTGCGCTCCTGTGCAGCATGAGTTGTCGCAGGCATGCGAAAAGAGGGGTGCAACCCCTTTGCGCGTTTCAGCCCAGGACACCTAACACCATACTGGCAAGTGTCTGCAGATGCCAAGGAGGGGCGTTGCAGTTATCATTCTATCATGTCCTTTGTTTAACATCGCGCAGCTTACCACAACGCAGGAGGTGTTCAAATCAGTGCGCGGGAAAGTGATGAAGTTTCTGAAGGTCCTCCTGCCTCTGACTGAGAGATGGGGATGTTACATTACATTATCACGCTTTTATAGTGAGTTACAATATGACACGGTATGCTACAGTACAGTACAGTTAGATTATTTTGTATTACAGTATCTTACGGTATATTATCGTGTATTGCAGCTGAATGTATTTTCGAGCATACGGTATAGTTTCATGATATAACATATTGCAGTTTTATGAAGGTATATTAAAGGTTCATTGTAGAAGCCACTAGACCCGCATGAGGCTGCGCAGCCGCACAGCGACGAGGCAATCCTGGCCACAGCGCTCCTGAAACGCCTCGCGGACGTTCTCTTCACCGTGAAGAAAGATGCCTCTCAGTGGAAGAAATGTAGGGTTTAGGATGTTTAAGGTTGACAGTGTACAGGCATGTCTTTCGGTTTGCATGAGAGCTGTCTTTCGTGGATGAAGGGATTGGCTGTCTTGCAGTGGCACAGGAGGTTTTACTTGGGGTGGTTCCGAAAGAGGTTGCAACACTTCAGGCCTGCGGGGTTCTTGTGGCGGCTGAGGCGAAGAGAGCCTCGGACCTCCTTGCAGCAGGTTTGCGGAAAGCACCGGAAGCTGGAGTAGGCCAGGTGAAGTGCGGACGCTTGTGCCATTCATGTGCCATGCCGACTCACGGTAGACTGTGAGAAACACTGTTGCTGAATTCGAGGTGTCTCTTTGGCACAGCTGTTGGGTAAGCAGCAGCGCTGGAAGGCAGCAGACTGAATGCGATGTAGATGTGGGCTGGGCTTTCGGCAGACTCGCAAAGGAGGCATCGGAGGCGCTCGTGCTGCACCTCAGCCATTTTCCCGATGATGACAGTGCCGTGGCTCCGAAGCAACCAGTCCCAGAAGCTGGGTCCCATGCACCTTGGTAGAGCTCCGCGGACGCTTTTGCCAGGCATTGATGCTGGATCAGGCGGGTGGCTTCGGGCTGTGATTTGGGTGTTGTTGTGCAACATGGTGCACTTGAGGCAAAGAGCTTTGTGAGCCAGTCATGAGCGAGACGCGGATGTGTGATGAGCTGCAGTGAACCCTGCATGAAAAATGGAGTCGTGCAACCACGTGCAGGGATATTTACTGCATCGCCTGGCTGCAACGGAAATGGTTTGGAATGACCAGTTCCTTCATTCCCCAAGGTGTGTGCTGATGACGACCGTGTCTTCGAAACAAAACTTTGGCAGGCAAAAAGCCGTAGCTGCTTTTGCGGAATAGGTGCGAAGAGTATCTTTGACTCCGGCCAATGGACTCGGGCAGGTACTGAGTTTGCCAGCTGCCTACCTGTTTGTTTACGAGCCATGAGCCAAGAGGGGGTGCCGGAACGAAGTTGATCTTTGAGAGACCCATGGCCTCGATAACACATGTATTTAGCATGCGATACGACGCTCTGGAAGAGCTGCGCGCCGAGTCCTAAGGATGAGTGCATATGTGCCTGTCGATGTTGGAACCTTGCAAACGGCAAATGCGTGAGGCATGACGCAGCAAGTGAGTGATTCGCAATTTGTCAAAGACAGCTGAACATTAACCTGGGTAAGCTTTCGATAGTGTCGCACAGTAACTAAGGCTAGAGTCATGGCCAGTCAGATGCAAAGTATTGAAACATTGACATGTTCTGCCAAAAGAAGACATCTAGACTAGACCCCAGTTTCAGGCCACTGATTGCTGATTGAAGGCTTTCTGGTGAAAGTAAGGATATTGCTGCCCAGAAACGCCCAATCACGGATTTGCTACTGACACACTTGCTTTTGGAACTCACGGTTTTGCCGCATTTCCTACCATGACGAACTTACTTCTCGATGTGAAAGGTGTTGTCATGAGAGGGGCCTGCCAAAAGGAACAAAAACACACATCTGTCTGGTTCCTAAATTTCATCAGAATAGCTGAGTGCAACTGTTGAATTGGATCTTTGCAGGATAACTGCTGAAAGTACTGGTTTCTTGTGGCACGCTGCAAAATTTCAAAAGCATCCGTCATGATATTATTGTCTTTGTGGTGGGAGGGCACTGGCAAAAGTCATCCTAAAAAGATGCTGAGATTAAGGTATGCTGTGGGAGGGCACCGGCAAATTCTTTCGCCGTTGACCTCAGAAAAGAACCGCTCTTGAACATCGCTGAGCCGTGACTTCTGCATGGGCGGGGGATGCATAAATCTAGGAAATGCATCTAAACCACAGCTGCAGTTGAATTTTACTGGCGGGGGAGTGCTTCGGCAAATCCTCAACTTCAGGGAGAATCCAACAACAACAGCAACAACTGCACCAATTGATCAAATTGATGTTTCTCCAGTGGGAGCGCACCTCTCAGGCTTTGTTAAATTTCTGTGTGTTTTTCTGGTCGAGTTCCAGTGCAAATTCCTCAACTTCAGGCAACACCTCTTGCACCACATGTGCTGAATTCCAGGATTTGCTGGAGGGAGTTCCCCTGCAAAATCCTTGGTTCAGTAATTGTTTTTCCAAAAGCAAGTTTTGCATAGTGCTGCTTAGCCTTTTACGGGCAGGAGAGCTCTGTAATTGATTTGCTTCGATTGAAAATCGGTCTGAAAGCAAAGTTTCTTTGCTAGAATTTCGTTAATCACAGCTTTTTAAGTAGATTTCCTGGCATCAGGCTCCAGTGCCCGGGCCCGTTCGTTTCACTTACTGGGGCAAGGCGAAAAGCCCGAAGATCTCTTGGGGGATCAGGTCCGCAGGTCCCGACAAATCCTTCGTCTCAGAGAAGATAGTTTCTGCTTAGGGTTTAGGGTTTAGGGTTTCTGAAATCAAGGGTTCTTCCGGTGGGAGAGAGCCGGCAAATTGAATAAAGATAGTCGAAGATGTGCTGAAGTAAGTCTTTCTGGCAGGCAACTTTGTTGAGAATCGGAAACTCTCCTCTTTGTTGACGGTGTAAACATCAAACACGAGATCTTGCAACCCCATTGATATGCCTGAGAGATGGAACTGAAAACTGGAGAGGAGCTGATAAGAGTGTTGCGACCTCGGAACGGCTGAAGGTGGCTTTTCGCAACCGCTGCGCTGCCCTGCCCAGGCATTGTGCAATCCGCGATGGCTGAAGGTCCTCCGGGCACCGGCCTTACTTGTGCCTTTTGATTGCCAAGCGGCAGGTTGTTTTAAAGCACAACCTCTTCGAAATGTTTCGTCGCAGTGTCACCCCTTCCGTTTTCACGTGCATGCCCAGCCTGTCTACAGACATCAGTGGAGGAGAAAGCAACTGGAAGCTGGACTTGGGGATGGGAGTGGCTGCTCAAGCAGAGTTTCAGAGCTTGTCTGAATCTTCTTCACTCTATGTTCATGTTGACTTTCTTGCCTGGGGGACAACGTCAGATGCCGCACCGCAGACGCATGCTCAAGCAGACCCCTTGCAGCGCTCGCTCTTGTGTGGTCATGGGCAGCGTTTGCTGCGGCGCACGAGAGCGGCTGCAGGAGGAGCAGCAAGAATGCCAACGTCGGGAGGAACGGCCAGCGAGGCCAGAAGCATTGCTAACAAAGGAGGAGGCCATGGCGCAGCTGCTTGCAGAGCGTCCGCAGCCGAAGACCATGGAGGAGGCCATGGCGGAGGCCTTGGAGGTGACGCGATTGCTGCAGGCCATGAACGGGAAAATCCCGGAGGAGGAGCCTGCAGGCCTTTATGAGGCAGGTGACATCGTCATCATGGGGCAGGGCGAGTATCGCATGGATTATGCCGTGGTGACAGAGGCCAGGGCTTTGCCAGGTTTCGCTGTTGCAGCTCACATCTCGGTCCGGCCTTGAGGCGCAGGTGGAGGAGAAGCACCTCACCGTCATGGTGCTCAAGGATGACCGGCGCACCGTGGCCGCCCAGTCCTGGCCATATAAGTCGGACGTGACTTTGGAGTCCAGGGCTGGGCGGCTTGGCAAAAAGGTTGCTATCTCGCAGTGGAACTGTGGGAAGTGGCGCAGCTGCACCAGCGCAGTGCTGCAGATTGGGGGAAGTCGGGTGGGGAGAGCAGAGGGACGAGCTGGCTTCATTTGTTTTTTATTGCACGGAAGGGTGTCAGTGCTTTCGAAAACGAGGCATGCCGGGCGCCGTGGGCAGGTCGCACTGGATGCGCGCCACAAGGAATTTCCGCTCTTCGTTCAGAGGCTGCCACATGCCACGGTGTGGTTTTGCTCTTCTTGCGGATCCTACTGCTGATTCGGCCTCCATGAGCAGGGGCAAGGACGTGGAGCTGATGGTCAACGTCGAGTTCTCCGCAAGTGAGCCAGGGGCCGAGACCCGAAGCTCCGTTTGAAAGAAGGCTCTGCGAGTCTGTGCATGAGGTCTGTGCATTTCGCGGTCGAAGACCTCGTAGAGCTCCCTGCTCAGAGTCTTGCGGCAGTGCTGTGTGAGGCAGCTGGCAGAGCGCAGCACATGTTCCAAGATGGTGCTAAGGGTAGTGGTGTCTAAGGGTAGCGCGACTGTTGCTAGCTGGTTCCGATTTTCCACTGGTCTGCTCGGCTTGCCCTTCACCGCAGCTGCAAGCTGAGCACCGAGGCTTCGAGAGGCTGCATGAAGATGACCCCATGCGTCGTCTTTGTGCGCTGGTCCTAGCGGTCCGCCATTGCAGAGCAAAGCGAGTGTGAGCATCAGCATACTCTTTCACAGATCATTCGTCACGCAGACCGCGAGCACTCATAGCCGAAGCTGAGTTCTTGCACTCTTCGCGCATCGCCTGTGTGAGTCGTGCAGAAGAGAACTCCCGCAACCAGCACCAGCGTGCTGGCAAGTTGCGTGGAAGGCGCATCACATTCTTAGGATTTGTAAACATGTTCGACAGCATTCTGTGGAAGCTTTACAATCAATCGGAAACTCTTCTTTGTTTTATGCATCGAAAACAAGATCCTGCAGACTGCAGCGCAGCTGATGAGACTCTGCCAAAGCGGAACGGTTGAAGGTGGCTTTTCGCCTCCATGCCCCCCGATTCTGGCAAAAGCAACAACCGCTGCGCTGCCTAGGCATTGTGCAATCCGAGATGGCTGAATCTCCTGGACTGACCTTCTTGGTGCCTTTTGATTTCCAAAGTGGCAGGTTGTCGAAACGCACAAGCTCTTCGAAATGTTGTGTCGCAGTGTCACCCCTTCCGTTTTCACGTGCATGCCCAGCTTATCTACAGCCGCCTGCGGAAGGGAAAGCAACTTGAACTGAGTTTCAGTTTTAGTTTGACTCTTCTTCGATAAATGTCCGATTTGTCTCTGAAGACAAGAGCCTTGCATGGAGGACAACATCAGATGCCGCACCGCAGACGCATGCTCAAGCAGACCCGTTGCAGCGCTCGCTCTTGTGTGGTCATGGGCAGCGTTTGCTGCGGCGCACGACAGCGGCTGCAGGAGGAGCAGCAAGAATGCCAGCGTTGGGAGGAACGGCCAGCGAGGCCAGAAGCATTGCTAACAAAGGAGGAGGCCATGGCGCAGCTGCTTGCAGAGCGTCCGCAGCCGAAGACCATGGAGGAGGCCATGGCGGAGGCCTTCGACGCGATTGCTGCAGGCCATGAATGGGAAAATCCCGGAGGAGGAGGAGCCTGCAGGCCTTTATGAGGCAGGTGACATCGTCATCATGGGGCAGGGCGAGTATCGCATGGATTATGCCGTGGTCACAGAGGCCAGGGCTTTGCCAGGTTTCGCTGTTGCAGCTCACATCTTGGTCCGGCCTTGAGGCGCAGGTGGAGGAGAAGCACCTCACCGTCATGGTGCTCAAGGATGACCGGCGCACCGTGGCCGCCCAGTCCTGGCCATATAAGTCGGACGTGACTTTGGAGTCCAGGGCTGGGCGGCTTGGCAAAAAGGTTGCTATCTCGCAGTGGAACTGTGGGAAGTGGCGCAGCTGCACCAGCGCAGTGCTGCAGATTGGGGGAAGTCGGGTGGGGAGAGCAGAGGGACGAGCTGGCTTCATTTGTTTTTTTATTGCACGGAAGGGTGTCAGTGCTTTCGAAAACGAGGCATGCCGGCCGCCGTGGGCAGGTCGCACTGGATGCGCGCCGCAAGGAATTTCCGCTCTTCGTTCAGAGGCTGCCACATGCCACGGTGTGGTTTTGCTCTTCTTGCGGATCCTACTCCTGATTCGGCCTCCATGAGCAGGGGCAAGGACGTGGAGCTCGTGGTCAACGTCGAGTTCTCCTCAAGTGAGCCAGGGGCCGAGACCCGAAGCTCCGTTTGAAAGAAGGCTCTGCGAGTCTGTGCATGAGGTCTGTGCATTTCGCGGTCGAAGACCTCGTAGAGCTCCCCGCTCAGAGTCTTGCGGCAGTGCTGTGTGAGGCAGCTGGCAGAGCGCAGCACATGTTCAAAGATGGTGCTAAGGGTAGTGGTGTCTGAGGGTAGCGCGACTGTTACTAGCTGGCCCCGATTTTCCACTGGTCTGCTCGGCTTGCCCTTCACCGCAGCTGCAAGCTGAGCACCGAGGCTTCGAGAGGCTGCATGAAGATGACCCCATGCGTCGTCTTTGTGCGCTGGTCCTAGCGGTCCGCCATTGCAGAGCAAAGCGTGTGTGAGCATCAGCATACTCTTTCACAGATCATTTATCACACAGCCAGTGAGCACTCGTAGCCAATCCTGAGATCTTGCGCTCTGTGCTTGTGCGCTTGTAGCATGTGTGAGTTGGGCACAAGAGAACTCGCTTAACTAGTACCAGCGTGTTGGCAAGGTGCATCACATGTTCAGGCTTTCAGCAAACCGGAAAGTCTCCTCTTTGTTGACTGTGCAACCTGATGAGACTCTTGCGACTGCGGAACGGCTGAAGGTGGCTTTTCGCCTCCATGCCCCCCGATTCTGGCAAAAGCAACAACCGCTGCGCTGCCTAGGCATTGTGCAATCCGAGATGGCTGAATCTCCTGGACTGACCTTCTTGGTGCCTTTTGATTTCCAAAGTGGCAGGTTGTCGAAACGCACAAGCTCTTCGAAATGTTGTGTCGCAGTGTCACCCCTTCCGTTTTCACGTGCATGCCCAGCTTATCTACAGCCGCCTGCGGAAGGGAAAGCAACTTGAACTGAGTTTCAGTTTTAGTTTGACTCTTCTTCGATAAATGTCCGATTTGTCTCTGAAGACAAGAGCCTTGCATGGAGGACAACATCAGATGCCGCACCGCAGACGCATGCTCAAGCAGACCCGTTGCAGCGCTCGCTCTTGTGTGGTCATGGGCAGCGTTTGCTGCGGCGCACGAGAGCGGCTGCAGGAGGAGCAGCAAGAATGCCAGCGTCGGGAGGAACGGCCAGCGAGGCCAGAAGCATTGCTAACAAAGGAGGAGGCCATGGCGCAGCTGCTTGCAGAGCGTCCGCAGCCGAAGACAATGGAGGAGGCCATGGCGGAGGCCTTGGAGGTGACGCGATTGCTGCAGGCCATGAATGGGAAAATCCCGGAGGAGGAGGAGCCTGCAGGCCTTTATGAGGCAGGTGACATCGTCATCATGGGGCAGGGCGAGTATCGCATGGATTATGCCGTGGTCACAGAGGCCAGGGCTTTGCCAGGTTTCGCTGTTGCAGCTCACATCTCGGTCCGGCCTTGAGGCGCAGGTGGAGGAGAAGCACCTCACCGTCATGGTGCTCAAGGATGACCGGCGCACCGTGGCCGCCCAGTCCTGGCCATATAAGTCGGACGTGACTTTGGAGTCCAGGGCTGGGCGGCTTGGCAAAAAGGTTGCTATCTCGCAGTGGAACTGTGGGAAGTGGCGCAGCTGCACCAGCGCAGTGCCGCAGATTGGGGGAAGTCGGGGGGGGAGAGCAGAGGGACGAGCTGGCTTCATTTGTTTTTTTATTGCACGGAAGGGTGTCAGTGCTTTCGAAAACGAGGCATGCCGGGCGCCGTGGGCAGGTCGCACTGGATGCGCGCCACAAGGAATTTCCGCTCTTCGTTCAGAGGCTGCCACATGCCACGGTGTGGTTTTGCTCTTCTTGCGGATCCTACTCCTGATTCGGCCTCCATGAGCAGGGGCAAGGACGTGGAGCTCGTGGTCAACGTCGAGTTCTCCGCAAGTGAGCCAGGGGCCGAGACCCGAAGCTCCGTTTGAAAGAAGGCTCTGCGAGTCTGTGCATGAGGTCTGTGCATTTCGCGGTCGAAGACCTCGTAGAGCTCCCTGCTCAGAGTCTTGCGGCAGTGCTGTGTGAGGCAGCTGGCAGAGCGCAGCACATGTTCAAAGATGGCGCTAAGGGTAGTGGTGTCTAAGGGTAGCGTGACTGTTACTAGCTGGTTCCGACTTTCCACTGGTCTGCTCGGCTTGCCCTTCACCGCAGCTGCAAGCTGAGCACCGAGGCTTCGAGAGGCTGCATGAAGATGACCCCATGCGTCGTCTTTGTGCGCTGGTCCTAGCGGTCTGCCATTGCAGAGCAAAGCGTGTGTGAGCATCAGCATACTCTTTCACAGATCATTCGTCACGCAGACCGCGAGCACTCATAGCCGAAGCTGAGTTCTTGCACTCTTCGCTCATCGCCTGTGTGAGTCGTGCAGAAGAGAACTCCCGCAACCAGCACCAGCGTGCTGGCAAGTTGCGTGGAAGGCGCATCACATTCTTAGGATTTGTAAACATGTTCGACAGCATTCTGTGGAAGCTTTACAATCAATCGGAAACTCTTCTTTATTTTTTGCATCGAAAACAAGATCCTGCAGACTGCAGCGCAGCTGATGAGACTCTTGCGAAAGCGGAACGGTTGAAGGTGGCTTTTCGCCTCCATGCCCCCCGATTCTGGCAAAAGCAACAACCGCTGCGCTGCCTAGGCATTGTGCAATCCGAGATGGCTGAATCTCCTGGACTGACCTTCCTGGTGCCTTTTGATTTCCAAAGTGGCAGGTTGTCCAAACGCACAAGCTCTTCGAAATGTTGTGTCGTAGTGTCACCCCTTCCGTTTTCACGTGCATGCCCAGCTTATCTACAGCCGCCTGCGGAAGGGAAAGCAACTTGAACTGAGTTTCAGTTTTAGTTTGACTCTTCTGATCTCTTCTTCGATATATGTCCGATTTGTCTCTGAAGACGTGAGCCTTGCATGGAGGACAACATCAGATGCCGCACCGCAGACGCATGCTCAAGCAGACCCGTTGCAGCGCTCGCTCTTGTGTGGTCATGGGCAGCGTTTGCTGCGGCGCACGAGAGCGGCTGCAGGAGGAGCAGCAAGAATGCCAGCGTCGGGAGGAACGGCCAGCGAGGCCAGAAGCATTGCTAACAAAGGAGGAGGCCATGGCGCAGCTGCTTGCAGAGCGTCCGCAGCCGAAGACCATGGAGGAGGCCATGGTGGAGGCCTTGGAGGTGACGCGATTGCTGCAGGCCATGAATGGGAAAATCCCGGAGGAGGAGCCTGCAGGCCTTTATGAGGCGGGTGACATCGTCGTGATGGGGCAGGGCGAGTATCGCATGAATTCATGCGATACTCGCCCTGCCCCATCACGACGTTGTCACCCGCCTCATAAAGGCCTGCAGGCTCCTCCTCCTCCGGGATAATTATGCGGTCGTCACACAGGCCAGGGCATTGCCAGGTTTCGCTGTTGCAGCTCACATCTTGGTCCGGCCTTGAGGCGCAGGTGGATGAGAAGCACCTCACCGTCATGGTGCTCAAGGATGACCTGCGCACCGTGGCCGCCCAGTCCTGGCCATATAAGTCGGACGTGACTTTGGAGTCCAGGGCTGGGCGGCTTGGCAAAAAGGTTGCTATCTCGCGGTGGAACTGTGGGAAGTGGCGCAGCTGCACCAGCGCAGTGCTGCAGATTGGGGGAAGTCGGGTGGGGAGAGCAGAGGGACGAGCTGGCTTCATTTGTTTTTTTATTGCACGGAAGGGTGTCAGTGCTTTCGAAAACGAGGCATGCCGGGCGGTGGGAGGTCGCACTGGATGCGCGCCACAAGGAATTTCCGCTCTTCGTTCAGAGGCTGCCACATGCCACGGTGTGGTTTTGCTCTTCTTGCGGATCCTACTCCTGATTCGGCCTCCATGAGCAGGGGCAAGGACGTGGAGCTCGTGGTCAACGTCGAGTTCTCCGCAAGTGAGCCAGGGGCCGAGACCCGAAGCTCCGTTTGAAAGAAGGCTCTGCGAGTCTGTGCATGAGGTCTGTGCATTTCGCGGTCGAAGACCTCGTAGAGCTCCCTGCTCAGAGTCTTGCGGCAGTGCTGTGTGAGGCAGCTGGCAGAGCGCAGCACATGTTCAAAGATGGCGCTAAGGGTAGTGGTGTCTAAGGGTAGCGCGACTGTTGCTAGTCCGTTGCGATTTTCCACTGGTCTGCTCGGCTTGCCCTTCACCGCAGCTGCAAGCTGAGCACCGAGGCTTCGAGAGGCTGCATGAAGATGACCCCATGCGTCGGCTTTGTGCGCTGGTCCTAGCGGTCCGCCATTGCAGAGCAAAGCGTGTGTGAGCATCAGCATATTTTTTGTACACTCGTAGCCAAACCTGAGATCTTGCGCTCTGTGCTTGTGCGCTTGTAGCATGTGTGAGTTGGGCACAAGAGAACTCGCTTAACTAGTACCAGCGTGTTGGCAAGGTGCATCACATGTTCAGGCTTTCAGCAAACCGGAAAGTCTCCTCTTTGTTGACTGTGCAACCTGATGAGACTCTTGCGACTGCGGAACGGCTGAAGGTGGGCTTTTCGCCTCCATGCCCCCCGATTCTGGCAAAAGCAACAACCGCTGCGCTGCCTAGGCATTGTGCAATCCGAGATGGCTGAATCTCCTGGACTGACCTTCTTGGTGCCTTTTGATTTCCAAAGTGGCAGGTTGTCGAAACGCACAAGCTCTTCGAAATGTTGTGTCGCAGTGTCACCCCTTCCGTTTTCACGTGCATGCCCAGCTTATCTACAGCCGCCTGCGGAAGGGAAAGCAACTTGAACTGAGTTTCAGTTTTAGTTTGACTCTTCTGATCTCTTCTTCGATATATGTCCGATTTGTCTCTGAAGACGTGAGCCTTGCATGGAGGACAACATCAGATGCCGCACCGCAGACGCATGCTCAAGCAGACCCGTTGCAGCGCTCGCTCTTGTGTGGTCATGGGCAGCGTTTGCTGCGGCGCACGAGAGCGGCTGCAGGAGGAGCAGCAAGAATGCCAGCGTCGGGAGGAACGGCCAGCGAGGCCAGAAGCATTGCTAACAAAGGAGGAGGCCATGGCGCAGCTGCTTGCAGAGCGTCCGCAGCCGAAGACCATGGAGGAGGCCATGGTGGAGGCCTTGGAGGTGACGCGATTGCTGCAGGCCATGAATGGGAAAATCCCGGAGGAGGAGCCTGCAGGCCTTTATGAGGCGGGTGACATCGTCGTGATGGGGCAGGGCGAGTATCGCATGAATTCATGCGATACTCGCCCTGCCCCATCACGACGTTGTCACCCGCCTCATAAAGGCCTGCAGGCTCCTCCTCCTCCGGGATAATTATGCGGTCGTCACACAGGCCAGGGCATTGCCAGGTTTCGCTGTTGCAGCTCACATCTTGGTCCGGCCTTGAGGCGCAGGTGGATGAGAAGCACCTCACCGTCATGGTGCTCAAGGATGACCTGCGCACCGTGGCCGCCCAGTCCTGGCCATATAAGTCGGACGTGACTTTGGAGTCCAGGGCTGGGCGGCTTGGCAAAAAGGTTGCTATCTCGCGGTGGAACTGTGGGAAGTGGCGCAGCTGCACCAGCGCAGTGCTGCAGATTGGGGGAAGTCGGGTGGGGAGAGCAGAGGGACGAGCTGGCTTCATTTGTTTTTTATTGCACGGAAGGGTGTCAGTGCTTTCGAAAACGAGGCATGCCGGGCGCCGTGGGCAGGTCGCACTGGATGCGCGCCACAAGGAATTTCCGCTCTTCGTTCAGAGGCTGCCACATGCCACGGTGTGGTTTTGCTCTTCTTGCGGATCCTACTCCTGATTCGGCCTCCATGAGCAGGGGCAAGGACGTGGAGCTCGTGGTCAACGTCGAGTTCTCCGCAAGTGAGCCAGGGGCCGAGACCCGAAGCTCCGTTTGAAAGAAGGCTCTGCGAGTCTGTGCATGAGGTCTGTGCATTTCGCGGTCGAAGACCTCGTAGAGCTCCCTGCTCAGAGTCTTGCGGCAGTGCTGTGTGAGGCAGCTGGCAGAGCGCAGCACATGTTCAAAGATGGCGCTAAGGGTAGTGGTGTCTAAGGGTAGCGCGACTGTTGCTAGCTCGTTCCGATTTTCCACTGGTCTGCTCGGCTTGCCCTTCACCGCAGCTGCAAGCTGAGCACCGAGGCTTCGAGAGGCTGCATGAAGATGACCCCATGCGTCGTCTTTGTGCGCTGGTCCTAGCGGTCCGCCATTGCAGAGCAAAGCGTGTGTGAGCATGAGATATTCTTTCACAGATCATTTATCACACAGCCAGTGAGCACTCGTAGCCAAACCTGAGATCTTGCGCTCTGTGCTTGTGCGCTTGTGGCATGTGTGAGTTGGGCACAAGAGAACTCGCTTAACTAGTACCAGCGTGTTGGCAAGGTGCATCACATGTTCAGGCTTTCAGCAAACCGGAAAGTCTCCTCTTTGTTGACTGTGCAACCTGACGAGACTCTTGCGACTGCGGAACGGCTGAAGGTGACTTTTCGCCTCCATGCGCCCGGCTCTGGTAAAAGTAACAACCCCTGCGCTGCCCAGGCATTGTGCAATCCGAGATGGCTGAATCTCCTGGACTGACCTTCCTGGTGCCTTTTGATTGCCTAGCGGCAGGCGGCAGGTTGTTCAAAAGCACAAGCTCTTCGAAGTGTTGCGTTGCAGTGTCACCCCTTCCGTTTTCACGTGCATGCCCAGCCTGTCTAGAGACATCAGTGGAGGAGAAAGCAACTGGAAACTAGTCACAAGGATCTTCAGCCATGAAGCCTTCAGCCAGCTTGAGACGCCAAGCCCTCATGCTACCTTTCATCTTTCAGGGTTCTGCTGAAGCGGCGTCCATCCCTCGTCTTTAGGAGACTTCTATGCATCGACGGAGGTTGGTAGAGCTCAGGCTTAGGTTTGACGTCGGGAGCAGCTGCTCTCTTGACAGATTCGGGGTTTCGCTGGACTCTGCGACGCTCTTGCAAGATCATCACGAGCTTGAAGCAGATTCAAAGAGCTATGTATGTACCACTCAAGAGCGTGCACTGATTAGTTAGTAAGGAACCCCAAGTGCCACCTCATCAATGTTCAGTCACCCCGAACAGGTAGGACATGTCCCCAGCAGATCTTATCCTCTTCTTAGTCTTGGAATGGCCTTCATTGCCATCGGCTTTGGTCGGA